CTTGGATTAACGTAACGTGTCTTTGTGCAACGTAAATCAACCGAGGTTTAAGATATAACCAAAGCTGAGCAGTTTAAGCCTGGGTTAGCTTTTACATGATATTGTGAACCTTCTCTACATGAAGGTTATCGCATACTTGTCTTTTCAATTAAGTCAATACGTTATTACAGTAAAGATTCAGTAAATAATTTCGAGATAACGTCAAGTTTGCGGGGGCCCCGAAATTTTTTTCGTTTTTAGGAACAGACTCTAGTTCATAATTTAAACCATGGGGACCAATAATGTGTGAGATAAGCTGACAGTACGTCGTAACAAAAAATCGTTTGTTTACATTACGTCTGCATCGGCTCTAACTTACCTATTCACATTAATAAAAAATCTTTATTACTTTTTATCTTTCATGTTTACCCCCTCTCAAGCTCGCATTTAAATTTATCTTTCGTGGCCGTTTTAAAGGCAATTGCTCTTTGTTAATACTAACATGGCCAACTTCGAGTTAAAGAAACTCCCGATGCAAATCGTATTGTGTGTTGGCATTGTGTCGCATTTGCTTTTATTTATTTGCTTGCTGAAAGATCCGTTGAAATGTTTTAGGAATTCTGCAACATATCTCGTTACGAATTTAGCGGTATCTGATTTCCTGGTGTGCGTTGTTGTTTTTGTGTCGCTGGCAATGCCGACCGAAAAAATGGTGGACGTTTCTTATATATTAGCGAGAACGTTTATGTTAGTATCGTTGTTTTCTTTATTTTCCATTGCGATCGACCGTTATATTTTGACAGTACATCCATTTAAACATCGCGTACTAATAACTAGAAGGCGAATAGTCATCTGGGTTGGGTTAATATGGTTTATAAGCATGTTTCATCTTGTGAAGGAGCTGAAAATTGACGCCAACCAGATATACGATGCAGCCTACGAAACTTCGTTCATTATTATTTCCTTGGTTACAAGTATTGTGTATGGAACAGCCTATAATTCTTTGAGAAGAGAATGTCACGATATCTCGCAACAAAATCGTTCCCAAAGTCAAAGACAAGTTCTTATCCAAAAGGAGTTTTTAAAAACAATTATAATCGTCGTTTTCATTCAAATTTTTACCATGGTTCCAGCATCTATAAGTCATTTGGTTCATAACTTGTCGCAGGAACTGCCAGTTACAGGGATTGTTTTTTTTCAAATGTTTTGCACGAATTTCGCAATAAATCCATTATTGTATATTTGGAGACTGAAGAACTACAGACAAACATTCCGTTTAATTTACTGTAAGAAATTTTGTAAGATGAGAAATTAATAAGAGATATTTCAAATTTTAACTATAATTATATAATATCGTATATGTTAGGCTATTCGGTATAGATAAAAGTTGACATAAAATTGTAAAACCGTATTGATAGTGTTTACTCGCGGTTGTAGACTAACATGTATCTAACCGCATGCATGACATGAAGAGGAAGGATTAAGTTATGTTTGATGCACTTATCAAGAATAGATCACTTTACTATTGTTGCATGACAGTTAGGCATTTAATGTTTGACAGGGTTGGACTGCGTTTCTCTACTCAATTCGTTCAGTATATTCCATGCATTTATATGCAGTAATAACAAACCCCACGCCCAAAATTCTATTTGGAATTCACAGTCGCAGACTACGTGTCCAGTGTGTACATGCATGTTTGAAGATACCAAAGGAGAGAAAAAAGTGGAAAACGGCAATGAATCTCATTGTTCAAAGCGCACTTTAAGAAGTTTTATTGTTACGACGCATGTATTTTTGAGTAAAGTGACATCACTGCATGCCTTCCTATACAACACGTTATTGAGGATAAAAATCATTATACTGTAAAAGCTAATATTTGAGTTGTAAAAAATCAATCTGGGGAACTGTGTCAGTCGTGGATTTGGTCGTATCCGGTGAATAAATATTATACTCGTCGAAACCTTCCGTCGCATAGAAGGCACTTTTGTCATTTAACTTTTGATTGAAGAAACGAGTTTCTCATTTATACTGGTGCAACACGATAAGGAGGATGAAACATGCAATTCGGCAATTGAAATTTGCCTTTCAACAATAAAACTTGTTATGTTTTGATAGGTATCGCTTGTGAATCTTAAATAATTAATTTTAATATTATAGAGATAGTTATTAGAAGAGTATTTTATCTTCATTAATACCCGAACTTTAATTATACATTTCAATCATGTTTACTTCATATTGCATGGTTTCGATTAAATTTCCCGTAGCTGCATGTTTCATTTCGTGGTTATCAACATGGAGAACTTTGAGCTAAAGTATCTTGCAATCTATTTGACGCTTTGTGCTGGTGTTGTGTCGCATTTCTTTCTGTTCGTTTGCTTGCTAAAAGATCCTTTAAAATGTTTCAGAAATTCTACAGCATATCACGTCGCCAATTTAGCTATTGCTGATTTTATTGTGTGCATCATTTTGTCCACACAGTGGGCACCTTCTGGAGACTTCCAGAAAGTTTTTCGTACCTCGTCGGAAACTTTCATGTTGATATCACTGTTATCATTGTTCTCCATTGCAATTGATCGGTACATATTGACAGTTCATCCATTTAAACACCGGACACTGATAACCACAAGTCGAATAATCCTTTGGATTGGGTTATTATGGGTTATTGGCATCTTCCACTTGGTTAGAGAACTTGTATTGGGCAACGACAAGATTTACTATACAACATTTCAAACGTCATGTATCATTTTTCCTCTACTTAGCAGCCTGATATATGGGATAACCTACATTTCTTTGAGAAAGGCAATACGGATAATCTCCAAACAAAATCGCTCCCATACACATGTTCTCATCCAACAGGAATTCCTGAAAACGATTATTATCGTCGTAGTTATCCAAACTTTAACCCTAGTTCCAGCAAGTGTCTATCATTTGATCGATAACTTCTCGGGCGATCTTACGGTTCCGCAGAATGTCTTCGCGCCCAAATGTACAGTTTAAATTTTGCAATAAACCCTTTCTTGTATATATGGAGATTGAGAAACTATAGAGAAACGTTTCGCATGATTTATTGTAAGAAATTTTGTTAGCTATAGCTGCATGGGAACTTTGTAAAAACTTGACATCAGGAGTAAATTTTAAACAACAAAGCTATGGGCCGGGCACTTCAATATCTTCTTCTTTTCGTTTAATGTTCAACGTAATTGCTTGTGGTGTACTGCAATGGATTTGTAGCTAATTTGGCAGGATTGTATGTTTTGCTATATCCTCTTCACCACCGCGGGCGAAGCGCCTTTTGAAGATCTATACCCATGCGACCGTGAGCGGCCTGAAAAACAGACAGAAATTCGCCGACGGAAGCCAAGGTATTTAAGTGACGTGTCAATGTGTATTCAGGCGATTCAGGTAATTGCACTGATGAGGGCCCGGGTTAACGGACCGAAAGCTTTGCATATTAAATACTTTCGTGGCGTACCTACAAGCAAAATTACTTTGACTGTCACCATGAAAACATAATTATACAAGATTACATGCAAGAATATTATAATTAATTAACACTTATTTACTGCGAAGAAAGGAAACATTATGTTTGTGGACCTGTCGATATTTCACGAGGCGAAGCCGAGCTTTCCTTATAGAGCAGAGGAATTCCACCACCCCTGTCAGTACGATGACAATCGAGTCAGTACGATGACAATGAGTTGGACGATAGCTAGCAGGAGTACAGTCAGTTTTTACAACAGCTAGTATCTTTGTCATTGCACCAAGACTCAGTAACGGCAACAAGCTCAGGTTTAACATCGCAAATATAATAATTTAAAACGGCTGATTTATTTTTGAGGGAGCGGGCATTAATTCATAGAGATTAATTTAAAACATTTTTCACAGTCTGTGTTTAACGGTTTCTTTGACGGTAGCTTCCAAGTAGGTCCCATGTTTATCTAAAGAAGTCCCAAAATTTAAATCCTAGCTAACAAACTTCTTCGATGAGTCATAATCATCAACCCAAGCAATACGTAGGTTATCGCATGCAGATAGAAGCAATTATAGAAGAGAAGAAGAAAAATCACGGAGCTCTAAAGTCGCGTCATGCAGACACATGTTCTCCAACATTTACATCCGGGCTTTTTTCTCATCGGTGAAAATGACTTAACGTGAGTTAAAGACACGTCACACGTGTTACAGCTAAGTGGAGACGTGCAGGGTAAATAGAAACTTCCCGAGTTTGCTTGAGTGCACGCAAAACCATAGATTGGAAACGAGGCGGGCGATGTAATCTATTGTTAGTGGGATGGTTTTCATTGCCCGAGCACAAATTTGGGAAGAGTCTGTTGCATTTGTGCGTCAATCCAACCCAAAAATATTTCGTTCCTTGGAAGTGGAAGCAAGCGTTAACATGCGTGGAATAAATCGCATTGTTAATCAATGCAATGTTTCTCGCATATTGTCATAACAAACAAAACAGCTATGGAGCCAAAACTAAAAAATAACGTTTCTCAAGCTTGTCAAGCAATGAAATTCAATTTTTAATAAAAAAAAAAGATTCAGAAAACACTCGGAAGTCAACAAAAAATGCTGTGCCTTATAGTTAGAGCATATAGCTACGCTACGAAATTTCTTCTGATTGACTGATTAACTCTGCCTCTCATTGTAAAGTGTTTTTATGAAATTGTTGTGTAGCATTATGTTTTTGTTCATATATAACGAAGCACTTAATGTACACTACCTCGGGAAATAGTGAGTTTTGTTTTCCCTCGAGTCTCAACATTCAAACTAAACTCACTATTTCCCTCGCGAGCATGCATTAAGTATATATATTATTGGACATTTGTCCTTCTTTTATTATTTGCATCAAATTTGCTATGTCCTTAACGATTAACTTGCATGAGCGTTGAATAATTTATTAACATGCCTGCCGGTGGCCGACTTCAGTTGACTTCAGTCAAATCTTCTTACACTATTATCACTGACGAATTTAAATGCAGTTTAATCCACAAAAGAGCACACGTTTCATTATCTGCTAATCTAGAGCTTATATCCGGCACGACTCTTTCAAAGAGCTTGAGTCAGAGAGGCGTTTTTACGTGTATATATATACTTCTAGCACAAATTCAGAATTATTTTGGAGCACGGATACATTTCTCGAATTCGGCGGCAAGACGAAATGGGATTCAGGCTTCTGACAAAGACAGTTTTTGACTTCTACGACAGGGCAATCAACGATGGAGGTGATTTATAGAAATAAAAATTAAAAGAAAACGATGATAAACTATTGATAGGTTTGATTTGTCGAAAGAAATTTTTCATCTGTGCACTATCGATCAGCTCAGAGTTTGAATTGTATGTATATGTATGCATGTATATGTATATATAAAAACGACACAACAACTTCTATTCATCTCTTCGAAATCTTAACGCCCGAATCTTCTGGAAAATGAAAGGCATTATATGGCTTTACATACATGAATGCACACCTTATAAATCCGAGATTTGTATATATTTGTGTTTAACATTTCTTGCAGATCAAAGAACTTCCAAGTGGTTTTTAATGTCAACACCATGGACAGTTCTTTCATTGCTATTTTTCTATATTCTCCTCGTCATTGTTGGTCAGCGAATAATGAGAAAAAGAGATTCATTTGATATCAAGAATATTCTTATAATATACAACAGTCTGTTAGTTATTTTATCACTTTACATGTTGCGCGAGGTACGTTTGTAGAATCACTCATGCTTGACATGTCACCCGAATGCTATACAACTTTCTAAAAAGACAACCGAAAATTCATTGATGTCCAAATAACCAGCCTCGCTTAGATTCGAAGGCGGTCTGGACTTCGACCCCAGCCAATATCGAGGCATACATTAATCCCTGCATGACTAGACCATATATTGAGCAAACGATTACAGCTATGAAATTCGGTATCCAGGTCCGAAAATAAATTATTAAGTTTGATTTTTGTTGAGAAAGGGAAATGGATCTCCGGTCCAACGTGTGCCTTTCATTAGCCATTTTCTTTTCAAATCACTATCCAAAGGTACGCATCTCTATAGGCTGTACAATAAAACTTTTGAGAGTTATTGTAGTTTCAAAAGAGTGCTACAATAGTACAATACCGAAATTAAGGCTGTTTTCCACTAGGCGGGGTTTTGCGCGCTAAGCGAAGATGCGCTTTGTCTTCCTGAAATTAGTTTGGCATGAAAGCTCACAGAAAAATTACCCTTCGCGCGTAAAATTCAGCCTAGTGGAAAACAGCCTTTATATTCGTCTCGTGACCGACTTATTTTTTTCGTAAGTGATTGTTTAACGGTTCGCGAACTTAGGGAACTAAACCAATAGCGTCGCAAGCGAAGGGTACATATTCATACATTCGTGTTTTACATTGTTATTAATTTCTTCTCAAATTGATTGTTATTACGGTGTGTGAACATGAGTATATGAATACGTCTTAGCACTTATCGATGCTGGCGATGCCATGCATGCACTACTAAACCAACCCACTAGCGGTGAAGAACCTTGTCTGTATTGATATTAGCGCTCGCTACATTTTCATTTTAATCGAAGTTTGCTTTTTTTGTATAGTTTATATTCTCAGTTACCAGTACTCCAGACTTTAACTACTTTTGTCAAGGGGTCGAACAGGGTGAAAACACTAATTTATTGCGGGTAAGAAATCAGTATAGTGTGATTTGATTTAAATTTTATGATTTAGCAGAGGAGTAGCTATAGTAAATTGTTTATTTTTATATTTTTAGCATGCAAATGCCAACTGGTTGTTTCTTATATCTAAAATAGTCGAATTTCTTGATACAGTAAGTATAGCAAATTAAAGGTTTTTCACATGATCGACGGCGTGGGAAACACGATAATTGGGTGGGGGGGGGGGGTTGGGGGCATTATTAATATTATTTGTGTTGTTCATGATCAACTTCTTTTCAAATCGATCGTCTTTACAGTTTGTTAACATAAATATATGAATATGTGCCCCCCCTAGTATAAATCGGGCCGCTAAAAACTATGCATATAATTGTCTGATGTTACATTCTGTAGGTGTTTCTTATCGTCAGTAAAAAACCCGTGAGCTTTCTTCATATCTACCATCATAACAGTGTTTGTCTTTTGTGGTGGATCATTGTTAAATGGCACCCAGGTAATATATATGCATGGGTTCGACAGAAGGATTTGGCGCAATTTCACTTAAAGTTGTCTTGTACACAAGCCTATATAAATGTACTAGCATTAAGCCATTAAGTATGATCTTCTATAAGGATCATTGCGCTTGTCGAAACCGGGATCCCGTCCTCCTAGAGGGACGGGATAAAAAACGTCCCGGTTTCATATAAACAGGACGCGATAAATATTATAGAAATACATCGTCCGTCCCGTTCCGGCTCTCATTTAAACAGTTCCTTATTCTAACATTATACTTTGGTGTCTTTTTCAGGTGGAACTAGTAAGTATAAATCGTTGTATTAATATAACCATGCATGCGTAAACAATTAAAGTAGGATTAATTTGTATTATTATATACAAAAACGCAAGACATGAGCTATCGTGCAATCTAATTGGCTCTCCACTAGAGAAGATATTTGCTCATATCTGTCTATAGTAAAATGGCAGAAAGATTTGGGGAGATAAGCCACGTTTTCCTTGATAAAAGTAAATCAAAGTGCGACAAACTTTGCAACAAAAGTGTTCAATGGTAGATTAAAAACACGATACGGGATTTAATCAGTATTCAATTTTTGAAAAAAGTGTATTCACGATTGTTCAAATAACGAATAAATTTGAAAGTTGTTTTCATCCAGTGCTTGTGTATATAATAAAACAGTTATTCTGCTCAATCTCGTCGTATATGACTAATAGCTAACTGGGCCTCGTCGGCTATCAGCGCGTTATATACGACTCGAGTTCGCAGAATAACTGTTAAATATTAACTTATATTTATGTATAGAAAAACTGTTGGATACGTTAGTTGAATATGTCGTATACTTTGAGTACACAGTGTGGACTGTGGTGCATCTTCCTTTAGGCCGATCTACACGATGCGATTAGTCGTATACGATTCTTATCCTGACGTATGAAAAAGATTGGTAACGTCACTCTGTCTGTTCATCAGTTTATAACGAAATTTAAAATGGGAAACCTTTACACGCATTTATTCGAATACATACGCCAGCATACGAATCGTATGCGACTAATCGCATCGTGTAAATCGGCCTTTTAAATTGGCAACTAGGACACTTGCACGACTGCACAATATTTATGTACATGCATATTTCCTCATGCTATGGCAGATATAACCACTGTCAATAGAGGAAAGGAACATGCAGACAGCGCATATAGAAATTAAATGTTGTCAACTGATTTGATTTGGTCAATTTTAGCATATTTCGGTGCTGTTCTAAATTGTTTCGTGCATGCAGTGATGTATTTTTATTACCTGCTATCTGCATTGGGTCCTCGATTCAAGAAGTACTTATGGTGGAAAAGGTATCTCACATCACTCCAGCTGGTGAGTTCATTTGGGAGGTTTTTAAGTTGTTTATTCTCTATAATTCGATTGGTTATCTTTTCGTTAGTAAAGATTTTCATTGCTAAATATGCATAACTCGGATCTAGTTTCTATTTGTTACACTTTTTTCTTTCTAACAGCTCCAATTTTCAATGGTGTTTGTCTATGTCACAAATGCGATGACCGTGAAAGATTGTGATTATCCACACTGGTTGCTATGGATCTTCGTTGGTTATGACATCAGCCTGATAATTCTATTTGGCAATTTTTACTTTCAAGAATATTTGAAAAAAAACAAAAAGAAAATGGACATGAAATCAAACTAAAATCTTCAACCAATTCTTCATATCATCATCAGTTTCAATTTTTTCTCAGTGCATGTTTTCGTCTTTAAAATAAATCCATTATTTTAATCTTTCAATGTGGGGACACTAGCTCATAGTCAAGACAGATGCTTAAATAGGTTTAGGGTGGCGGTCTTCTGAACATTGATTTAGATTACTAATTTTCGTATTTAAAAAATTCAATAATTTCTTGATGTTATGAACTGAAGAGATGTATCAACGGGAATTAATTAGGCTAAAAACTCTTCTTTCCTGATGACTATTTAAGAAATGAAAAACATTTTCGTGTGGGGGTTTGGGAGAACAGATGTAATGAGTGGGAAAACGAGCCCATAGGGCGAGTTTTTCCACGTTAATTCGGGTTCTCCTCCCAAACTCCCACAAGTGTTTCTACTGAACTGTATAGAGACACGGGAAAAAATGTTTTCTATTTCTTTCATAATATAACTCAATAAAAAGATTTTGTACAAATATTATAATGCGATTTAATTACAAATTCTCATTACATTACTTCGCTTATCAAGTTTGGCGGGAAAAGTCTGTTCTAAGGAGATGTTCTATTATTTCATTTTATTTGCTTACAGGCTCTTTGAATCGAAGACTATTGAAATTTTATTTTGCCCTAAATTCCTTAGCGTGAAAATCAAACGGTTTTTTAAACAGTGTAATACGGCTCAAAAGGACCATCCATTATGAACGGGGGAGTGGGTAGACTTCCGCTGTAAATAGCACACTTTAGTTTGGGGCAGGGATAGTCACTCCAAGCGTACCTGACTTTTAGCACAACACAATTTAGCGATTTTGGTGCGACGATCACATACGACGGACCGTGATTAAGATTGGTGCCTCCAGCCAATCAGTGCCATTTTCACAGAGAACCTGCACGAAGATGTGACGCAATGAGCTAGGAGCAGTTATTAAACAAGATAGGTGCGATGACCTTTTGGAAAAATATACTACACAAATTTCTCTTTTAATAAATTCTTCTTCCTAGCGTTGAAGTAAGGATAATTCTCAGTTTTACGACAGAAGAAGATCTTAACACCTAAGTACAACGCGTGTACATCAGCGAAACCTTCCGACTTAATGAAAAAGTACAATACCTCGAATCCAACGTTACTTCTTACTTCAATTTGAGCATTCAGCAACTTAAAAGTCACTTCAAGCGCCTGGTTGTGGTGTGGTTCTGTCCGTTTCTTGATTGTATCAACCAGTGGTCCACTATAATACCTCTTCCTGTATAATGCAATATATATACCAAACGCTAGATATACCAAACAATAGTGCTTATGCAAATCAGAATGATCAAGAATTAAAACTACAAACCTTCCATACCCTACATCTAATCCAGCTAACGCCAGACGATGGCTCACGGTTCTCTTGTCAGTTGGATGTATGCTTTCATATGGGGATTCTGGGTTTCCAAGATCCATCGCGACCGCCATGAAGACGTTCTTCTCTCTATCATTAGGAACATAGCCATAATGCGCCGTTTGCTCCCAGCGAAGTGGAGCAAAGTTGAACGACCGCCCAGTTGTGTTATCACCTATTGCTGAAAGCTGTACATATAAGACTCATAAGAATAAAGATAAATTCCCTTCATTGAGTGGTTATAGAGCAATGGCCAGTTGAGATGATCACAAAATAATAGATTGAATTCGGATCGTTAATACATAGAATCTAAGATGGAAATAGCATCACAAAGGATCAGAATTAATAGGATTTTTTATACAAACTGTTGCTTGCCGACCAGTGGCGTAGCCAGCCTAAAGATTTTGTCCCGCTATGTAAATTTCAAGTTATTATAATTATTCATGCCTTTAGAAATTCATTGTTTCCACAGTCAATGAACACCAAAATATTAGCATAGCGGGACAAATCGTCGGGCTGCCTACGCTACTGTTGCCGACCCTCAACAACTGTCTTCGCTTGAATAAAGCATGGATATTGATGTAACTCTCAATTTCATACAAACTCACTCTTTCATACTATAATTCCTACATTATCACTCATTCGGAAATTATGGTAATTCTTGTATATATATCGAAGCAGCTACGCACCTGAACGAAACCAAAGGGAAACGTCTTGTTGGTATTTTTTCGCGTCGAAGCATACCATTTTGCTCTCCAGTCGTCAATCATGGCAGGGAAAGTGCAGTTGTAAGGATATAATCGGCTCACAGCGTTCCTTTCCCCTTGATACCAAATTGAGCCGTATATGGTCATATTAAGGAAAGGAACGATCATTGCATTCCAAAGACAACTCGGATTTGATGGCCAAGATTTGTGTAAATTGTTGGATGCAAACCTATAATAATGCCGATGGATGGTTTTAGCTGTAGAACTAGGCTTCTATTTAGTAAAAGTAAAAGTGAAAAGTTTTGCTTTGAAATAATGGTAAATGATGGAACTATATAGTCTTGCGATAAAATAAACTTTTCAGTTCAGACTATACACATATAGCCTTTGACAGGAAAATAAAAAAAAACATCTTTAGTTCCGGAAGGATCAGTTTTACATCTCTCGCCTATGCTAATTGAATTACATTTTTCTTTCCCAACTCCAAATTTAGCCATTTCTTTTGGAATACTCCGTTTATCAGTGTCGACCCTTGCTATACTTTTGGTTTACCGTGTAGTTCGCTTAATTTAGTTCATAGAGTAAGTTAATTAGATGGAGTAAATTACTGAATTGATTAGTGCACTGCTAATCGTTACAATTCCGTTCGACCTAACTTAATTCACTCATCTTATTATATCAAATAACTTACTCTGTTTCAGCTATTCCACAAGTTGCCAGGGCTTCAGGTGAGGACCATGCCTCCACCGGTGTACCACCCCATGTTGAGGCAACCAAACCAATCGGATACCCTAGCTCTTTGTACAATTGGACACCATAGTACCAACAAACTGCCGAAAAATACTGCCAGGCGGGACCACCTAATGCTCCTATAGTTAACAATGAAGTGCCTATTTTTATTACCTAAACACACTAACTATCCATTACAAAATTTTTAAATAATTTTAAAACTAACCTGGAGATGCCCGAGACCAAGGTAATCTGACTTTTTTCAATTCAATTTGTGGAATCGATTCACAATCACGCTCTGCTGTGAATAACCGAATGTCCGGGTACTGAGCAGACTCGTTAATTGCTTCATTTCCGTTGTCAGACTACAAGATTACAAAAGTACACTACTCATTGAATTGCTGCAGCTTGAAGCCTCTATTAAGCGGAGGCGGTATCGACTAAATGTTTTGAAGGTTTTCCTCGGTAAACACAACCATGGCAAGGGCCGAATTCCGAAAGTAGAACGATTAATGAAGGGGGGGGGGGGTGTTCATTCCATGCAGTTCATTCATATATCCAGTTCTACACGACGGATTTTTTTTACAAAATAAATCTTTTCTTTTGCAAAAGAAATCCGTCGGGCAGAACTAAATCCGTCTGGCAGAACTGAACATATGACAAAACCCCTGGACACTACACCAAAAATGGGATACGTCCTTCTGGAAGAACAAAATTTGTTTGCATTACCGAAACAACTGTGAATTCCATGTTGCTCTGTCCACTACACATCCAAACATCACCAAACATAACGTCGCTTAAAGTAATATTGGTGGTGGCGCCTTTAACTTTAGAGTATGCTTTGATAAGATATGGGCCACCAAAACTTGTTGGCGTAAGCATGACTGTCCATATTCCAAACGATGTTTCACCTAAAAAAGATGCTAATTGATGCTGCTTACATTCAAACTGTATACGCTTTATTGAAATAGTCAAAACTAGTTAATCCTTTCGATACTCAGGAACATCGGTATTATGTATTCGCGGCAGTATTGTGACTACTAAGGTTGGGTGAGGAGAAGTTCTTTTCAGTTCTAAAAGATATTTGCAATAGTATTGGAAATAACCCCTTTTCATCTCTTTATCATCCCTTAGAACCCCTTAGACTTCTTCAAAAAATCCCTGAACTCCTTTTATCCCCTAGCTTTCTCGGTCTCGCCTCGTACCAACCGCGGTTTTTTTTAGGTTATTTGGAACCTAAAGTATATGTGCGAAGGGGAACACAACGAGAGAGGCCAGCAATACAATGGTCATTGAAAAGAAATAAATTATTAAAAACCTATGGACGTTTTTGACGTCGTTCACGACTTAACGTTAGCGTTCTGTTTACAACTGAAAAACTCCGCCTGTGTACAACATCTGCATGCATTTCACGATGTATAGTGAGCGCTATCTCGAATCCGTAGAGTCTATAAAATCGTTCCCAATCATAAGCCCGATATTTTCAACGTTTTATACCTCATTAAATTGCTGCGATTGATAAAGCGGTGTTTTAGCCGCGTCGTCGTCGTGTTGCCGTCCTATATGTATACACATGCAATATATCCATTTACGATTGAGCCTACGTCAATCGTGCCGTTGACTTGAAAACGTGTCTTCTAAGTATTATTACAAAAAAAATGGCGCGCGGACTAGAAATTAAGTCCGAAAAAGTAATAGCTCATAAGTGTTAGACGACAAACTTGTACGGTTCAAAGCGTTGTTTTCATGCGATTGCGTGATGTTAATCTTGCGAGTAGTTAGTTGCTTCGTTTTAAACAAAAGGCAGCGTCAAAGCGTCTGCTAATAAGCTAATTGCTTCTCATAGAATGACGTACATATTATACCTACTAACTAAAAGCACATCTCGATAGTTCGAGCTAATAACGATCTTCGTTGTAGGAAAGCTGAGGTATATTTTGTATCGGCAGTTGTTATGCTATGTTTGAAACATGGTCATAACTGGTAATAACATTCTAATCACGATAGCCACAAAGTTAGTAACCACATGCATAACACGAACTACCGCATGTCATACCCTGGATTTTAGTTGTAGTAAACGATCGGAACCATTCCCCATTATGAAAAACCTTCACCTTTTGGTCGATCTCTCCGTAACCCCACACAATTGCGCGTTTCGGCGCTTGTTGCAACACCATATGGTTGCCAAATACGCTTGCAAAACGAAACACATTCTCGGCATAGACCTGGCCGAAAACCAGAACCAACATGAAAAAAAAGAACATAACGCTCATCAAAACAGAACTGGCAAGTTTTCTCGTTAAAAATATATACTCATACAAGTTTTGACCGCCAGTCTACAGTCTTCGACGGGATGATACCAATGTTTAAGGAAGAGCTGGACAGTTTTAAAATTGCGTGAGGAAAAAAAACGCGAATATAGAATTAACAATAGACAAGCAATTAGGAATCACTTATGTAATTATTACCTGCTCTAATTATATCCCACTCCAGGCACTCCTTTTTTCTTATCTAACCGCAAACCCAAGTATAATTTTGTTGTTCGAAAAGTCAAAAGAGTGCTCAATACTATAAGATGTTTAGGTGTTTATGTTTAAGGCAAAGGTGGTATCAGTTGACGGGAAAATTAAGGAATACATAGGTATGATGGCAAATACGTTCAATGAGAAATACGAAAAAGAGACAGAACTCTCGAAGTACATCTGGGGATTGAAAAAAGACATTCTTATTCTTACAAACCTGGTGCATGAAAGGCGTTGTAATCTCTGCATCGAGGAAAAACTTTGCCTAATGAAAGCCGATGAGCATATTCTTTTAAACAAAAGATCAGAACTGTATGCCGGCATCAAACAGCATTCTTTTGAATTTTCAAACTTTAAAAGCGAATTTCCGAATTTTTTTTTCATTCAAACTATTTTAATTAAACTATTTTAATTGTGATTTCCAACGAATTGAAACTTCCATCGAAGTTTCGACCAGTTGTAGCTTTTAGTATCTATATATAAATATACATTTAAACGACACACTTTTGACGATGTATAGTGATTTGTAACAATCCACGAATCGATGATAGATGTCTGATATATAAAAAAACATTAAAAAATGAAGAAATAGCGCTCAAGAAACAAGCACTTGACTTGGTACGGGTATGAAATTTAAATATCAGAACATTGCATTCTTTGATCGATGTTCAGTAGTTAGGACAACTGAAAAGGGTCAAAATACGTGGATATTGCACATACAATCATACATAAGTGTCGACACTGATTCTGTATGGAGCAGCACATCTTTTTTTTCGGCATATTGCTTGGCCCATCTTTAACAGGCGCAAACCTTTTAATTTTTTACGTCATACCGAAAAAAGTAATAAAGTCTTTTTACGCGGCGCTGTTACATTATGCAACTTTCTTTGTGTTACGCAAGGCTTTATTGTGTTTGGATACATGCATGTAAAAATAGCTGTAAAAATAGGAGTAACAATTGCATGACAGGGATTAGTGATTAAGTTTTGCCACAAGACGCCTGAGTAGATATAATTTCCGGCCCATTCGCAATCATTCATCACATTTCCTTTCATGCATGACATTTCGTGGGATTGAATAAAGTAGTAAGGTGAAAATACTGGGTGCAATGCATCTTTAGGTCATAGCTGATACAGCTTTTCTGACAAGGGACCGGGGGGCAGGGGAACTTTATATAGAGTAACTTTTAGTACACTGTATATAACTACTATACAAAACGATGATATAATATTTCAAATTAAACGAATTATTTAATCTCATCGGGAGCTCAGATTAGATGATTCAGTAAATGTTAATAACGCCCAACGGGAGCACCGGTAGGAAACGACAAGGGATTAATTTACTTGATCAGCAAGCGATCAATTTTACGTATTAATAACACTGACAAAATGTGTTTAGCTCGAGTACGAGGTTCATAAGCGCGAGGTTCATGAGCAAACCTGTCACGAGGGAGTAAGCTCAACAATAACAAAAGGCCGGTTTACACGACAAGCGTTTTGGGCACGGCACCCCAGAAAACAGGCACCCGTGCCCAAAATTTGCGGCACGGCACCTCAGCGTTTGACTGTGTAAACGGGACAAAAATCAGCACAGGTGCCGAAAAATTAGACGTGCCGAGACTTTCTCACGAGGTAGTCTCGGCACGTATACCTAGAGGTGCCGTGCCAAAAAATGGAGAGGCATAGAAATGTGTTCGACAACGAGCATGCGCAAAACAATTCCAACATGACGGCAAGCGGCGAAAAAATACAACTTACAAGTAAGGAAGAAAAGCAAGGTGAAAAAGAAATTTTAAATAACACAAAAACACGTAAAAATCGTGGTGTTGTGTGGCAAGACAATGCAACAAACTTTTCATTGATTGACGTTTGGGGCGAGGAAGTTCTCCAACTGCAGTTGGAAAACTGCAAGACGTCAAAACAAACGTCAAAAATTTATGAAACGATACTGGTAAGTCATTTAAGCATATTTTGATGATAAGGCTTTGATCAAGGGCAATTTATATTAAATCATTCGGAGTTGAAAACAACTTTATCTTTTTTTTAGATTCAAATACAAAAAATGGCTATTGTGAAAGCTTTGCAGCCCGGGATGTTGTCAACAAAGTTAAAAAGTTGAGGCAAAAATACAAGGCAGAGAAAGACAAAAAGCGAAGATCGGGAACTGGCAAAGGGAAAGAATGGAAATTTTTTTCCAAGTTGGACGCATTTTTATCAACGAAACCAAATGTAGAACCGCTGCTCGTCGTTGACACCATGGCAGAAAGTAGCGCGAATGACGGAACTACAGAGGAAAAAGATGATCCGGTTGAAGGTGGGTAAAATGCTTTCCCCTCGGTGAAAAAGCATCATTGAACGCCTTTATGTGGGAACTAATTTATTTCTGGCACCTTTGTGGTTTTTCTCAGATTTTTAATGTATCATTATTTAATTAGCAGATATGATAAAGAAGTATGGCAAAAGTGAAACACATGTGCAGAAATGCAACACGTGCGAGTACGACCAAGAAATAAATACAGCCGGGGTTAAAAACTTGGAATCAGGATGTGTGAGGGTATATGCTGACGACGATGAATTCTCCTGTCCTAAATGTGAAAACACAGGCACAGCTGTTCCCAATTTTCACAGCACAACAGGTTCAAATTGTGGAAGTCAACTCCTTTCTACGTTTTTGGCTTACATAATACTCTTCTGTGTTTCATCAAATATAAATATATTACTCTATTTCTGTCCGCCATCTTTAAAATTTACTGAGGGTTACATGAAAAATAGGCGGACGTACCTTGACCGCTAACAGTGAATACCGTCGTAAATAGAAAGTAGAGGTGCCGTTTTCCGAACGAGCACGGTGCTTTTACAAAAGTGCGGTCTACAAAAAGTTGCCGTGTAAACGTGTAAATAGCGAAGTACGAGTTTTGGCACCGGTGCCTATTCTTAGGCGTGCCGTGCCAAAAACGCTTGTCGTGTAAACCGGCCTAAAGACAAGGAAACATGTTTGAATACCACGGTTGGGACGATTGGTAAAAGGTATCGTGAACAGCTGCAACACTTGCAAGAATGCAAACCCGACCAAAAGCGCTAAAGCAGCTGACTACGGCGTCATTACCGACGCTTCGGTCCGTGATGCCAGAACCGTTTGCAGTGACAGGAGTGGACTTTGCTGGTCCCCTTATCCACAGAAGGCCCGTTTACACTACAGTTAATTTTTTGGCACAGCACGGCTAAAATTGGTACCGTGCCTAATTTTATTAGTGTTCAGGCTACCAATACAAAGGCCGAGCATGGATAAAATGGGCACGGGTACCCATTTTAGCCGTACCATGCCAATAAATTGAATGTAGTGTAAACGGGGCTAGAGATAACCGAAAGTCAACGTGCAAGGCTTACCTTGCTCTTTACACCTGTTCTACGACAAGAGCGGTTCTAAAGTTGACGAATCCAAGAAAGGATTTAAAGAGTTTGTTGCTAGATGCGGTGCACCGAAAAAGATCGAGAGTGATAATGCATTAAAGCTCCCTGTTGGCGGGCTCCTTCGAGAGGCTTGTCGGGATAATGAAATCCAGTTTGGCTGAAGTAATTGGTCGAGTGCTGCGAACGTTTCCCGAGCTTGAAGAAGTTCTGCTGGATGTTGAATGTTTTATGAACAACCTCCCGCTTTGCTACCATGCAAGGTGAAGAATTTGAGCAACCTGTAATCACACCAAATTTACTTCTTCCTAGTCAGCCAGCAAACTTCCTTGAAGAGGACGTAGAAAAAATGGACGAGAGGGAGGAGGCGACCAAGCGAATGAGATTTCTCCAAGGTTGTCGAGGACACATGCATTAAAAAGCGTTGGCACACTGAGTACGTCCACGCTCTTCAGGAGAGGCGCCGCGAGGTTTTCAACACCGAGGAAGGATTATCGTCGAAAGGATCAATCGTTCTTCTTATAACAGATGACAGTAAAATAAAGAAGTGGCGAATCGGACGAATTGTCGACGTTATCCGAGGTCGAGATAATGTTTTGAGAGGATACAAATTAAAGACAGGAAATGGTTATATTGTTGAGAAACCACTTCAACTAGTATGTGACCTGGAAATTGTCGAGTCGACAGACGAAATGGCAGGAAGGAAAAAGGAGGGGAAACCGAGACGGGCGAGATGTAAGAAAAAACTCCTAATGTGGGAAATAACGATAAGCCAGACGCGACTGAGGGACCTTCGAGAGCACCGAAGTAACGGCAAGAAATCGCGTATAATCGAAATCGCAATGAACGAAGAAGAATGAAACGAAACACGATGGGTGACATTAAAGCTGTCAAACAGAGGACACTTTAATGGGGAAGGGTGTTTAGACAGCGCGAGAACAGGTTTTGTCATTATAGAGTTAATCATGTTAATTCATGGCATGGACAATACATGTACTTCTGAACACCGAGCGAGCGAGCTGTAGCATCATATTAATTTAGATATTTTAACAAAGCGAAGTGATCATGCAGGTGTGAATTATTCAGTGTCTCTGGAACATTTCCCACAAATCTATAGCGGTAAATCTAGTTTTCTAGCTTCGCGATGCGATATCTGAAATCCGGTGCTGTGATTGGTTTGCGAAAAAATTCGCCGCGAAAAGGAGAATCGCTTCCTACTTTTTATCTGTTCGCGCGAATAAATTCGCCTAGTGGAAAACGGGCTTTAGATTTAGAGATAGGCATTAAAGTTCGTTTATATAACCATTGCGTGCACATTAGTTGTTGTATAAAATGATGAATTACAGTTACTAATTTAAATTTTGCAGCATATATGTAAGTATCATAAAATATAAATCCATAGTACTTTCTGAAGATGGATTAATAAACTTTCTATTTCTATTCTAATACAACGTATATTTTTTCTAATACAGTAGGTAACCTCAACTACTTCGTTGAAAATATTAGGCAAGCTGGAGAATTTTTAATGTGTATAAAATTATAGCACAAAGCATAATGTGTATAAAATTATAGCACAAAGCATATGCGATTGATACTGACCGGTTCAAATGTCTTCCAGGTCCATTTGTGTTTTTTCACAGCCAACGAACAACTGCTACAGAGTGTGGCAGGTCCTTCGTGAGCCTGTCCGAAGTTTGTTAATAGCATGTCAACACTCTGAACAACATTGATCACATTAGCTGTTGCCGCGTACACGCGGTCATGCCCCGCGAAATTGGTGGAAATTACGAAAAAGTATCAGCAACTACGGCAATGTGCAATGTTTGAGACCACGTAATTTACATTTTATTTTGTCTTTTAATGACCGATACAATGGTTGATGCGCAACGTTGCAGTTGACATTGTCGTATTTCCCAAACTCTCTAACAGAGATTAACCTAGTTTAAACCTGGGATAGAATTAAAACACTGCTGATTGTATTTTATTTTTTTAAGTATTATACAATGCAAATACTTTTTTATATTCAAGGAGAAGGGGTTTCTAGATCTAACACGAAACGGTAAAGAATTAAGTTTTTCTGTCTTTTTATTGTCGTTGTGGCTATTAAAATTAATGGTAAAAATTGGTGTTTTCCAGTTTGTCAAAGTCTAGTGTAATTCCCTGTTCGCCATCTAGCTCTCATCGTCAGCTATATTAGCCAGCCAATCAGATTGCACATTTACATTAGGTGAACAGAATTAGCTATGGTTTTCATTACAAGCCACTTTCCCTACTGTTACAATCTAAATGGAGCACGAGGTCGTTCACATGGACGTAACTTGTCACAATAATTTGGGGAGGATGTATATTCATAAATGTACGAGCAACCATTTTTTAAGACCAGCACATGGGCACATGGCAATATATACGAATATTTATCCCACCCGGCACTCGTCAACTATAAGCACCTATATATCGTTACGTCCATGGTTCTTCGTTTAGACATCCATATCTGTCTCTGGAATTTCTTGGTCTTCAACAAACAATGTGTGAATGATCCCATTCCTTCGCTTTCCAGAACTGATTGCTTTGATATAAGCATTGTATTTATTGTGGAGTTTGAAATGCGTTTCAGTGCCACCATCAACAAATTCTCCCTAGAAATATTTCAAAAATCTATTCATCAACTGTATTCCCTCTTTTCCTTCGAATGCCACAATTCGTCATTATGCGTCAAATTTCGTGATACCAGATAAGAAACCTACACTACTTATGTTTTTTAAGCTAACAACAGTTTTGCAAAACAATTAAGCTGCTGTTTGAATTTTAATGGTAATTTTAAGGCCTATTCTATGGCTTGGGTGCATGGTAAAAGAACGAACACTGATCTGAAAACGAATTGATCACGCATAATCAGAGCAGAAAAATGGTGGAATTACTGCACCTCTACCTACATGTATTATATATATAGCTACAGTATATTTCTTTGCATATGCATGCTCAGTCAGGTTCTAGACACATGACGTAAAGAACACCAAATAAACCAATAACATGTAGCGATATGTTAGCATACAGAAAGTTCATCTGTACTATAACATACACTAATATGTACAGGTGGTCGTGCATGTATTAAAAGCTTGCCAAGGCACTTGCAGAACTTATGCCTTTTTTTGTGTTTATGCCAGCTATAGTTGCAGTTCTGCAGTATACTTGAAGTTAACGACAGCATTGGGCAGGCATCCTGTAGAGAGTAGTATTGTTTATGTATTTAAAATACTTCTTGCCAAATTTTGTTTTTCTTGTTCAAAATAGGCATATTGTGCAATGTGAAATACGATTGAGATTGAATGTCTTTCTTTACATTTGCTGCACTGTGTTGTAAACTGCAGGTGCAATATTGTGCAAATTGATATTAGTTAATACAGTATATGCAAATTTGTGAAAATGTATTGCCTTTAATAAACAATGCTGTGGCAGCTCATTTACATTAAGATGTAAAATGGGCATTGTGAATAAAGTCAAGCAAGATGTTCTTCAGATGATTCGGCTCACAATCATCAGCAGAATGCAACTAAGATGACCCAATTTGAACATGCTTGTACATAAGCTATGCCTTCTTGTTGAAAACCATTTTATTCTAGTTATTAGTTATAGTATTAGGTCTTCCAGATATTATATACTCAGCTACACATTGATTATTCAACCTCTGATCACTTCCTCATGCAAAAACACCTCTTCACCCACTTATTAATGTGTCGTAAAATAAACAAGATATATATTGTAAACTCACTGCAGTCTCAAGTACTTCTCCATTACACCACACGTCCATGCTATTCTTTTCTAAAAAGAATAAGTTAGAGAGTCCTCAAGCATGCAGTATTCTGCAACTGGAGTTAAGTAAAAATCACTTGGGTTTTTGTTGACTTATTGATTTAAGTAATAATGTTCACTAAGGCCAGAAAGGATAACACCACTCTTGCTGACCTGGTTGTTGACTAATTGTCACATTGTCCACACAATTTGTATAACTGTAATCTTTTTATTGTGTGCATTATTGTAATTCTAGAGTACAGAGAAAGCTTGATTGCTACAATTCAATCTTCTTTTATAGTTTCAAAAAAGGGACTACAAACAATCTTGTGTTTTACCAATACCAGGTACCTTCTATTCAGACTTTTATTTGTGACAGATATTGCCAACCACTTATTGATCCAGGCAGGTAAATTTTTGCTAAACTAATTAATTCAGAGGCCAGTGGATGTGTGCACAATGAGTACAATAGGAATTAAGAGGAGTTCATGGGTACCATATTATTCCACTAGCAAATTACATTGATGTTATGTACATTGTACACACTGTCTCAAATTAGACACAACATATATACAATAAAATTGACTGGATAACTCAGAACTAAAAACAACATTCATTGTTGTATTATATTTATTCTATCATTTCCATGCCTCTAGAGTGTGTTGCAATGTCCGATCGACCAATGGACCGATTATCAGACATTTCTACAGCAGTTCATCAATATTGCATTAAATATATATTTTATATGTAAAAATTTAAAATTCTAATTAAGTTTCCACTTACCAAAAACAACTCTTGTTTCTACACCACCGTGAATAAACCTCCAAACCTTTGCTGTCTTCCTTCGGTTTTCTGTGAACTTTTTTAGCGGCTTACCATTAACATCAAGCGTATACTCATACGAAAAACCGCTCACAGCTTCAATTCGTATAGTTGCCTTTGTTTTCCTGCCAATGGGAAATTCTTCCTTTCCCACTAAACGAAACATCCAGTTTCGTCGCAGGATCTCGACCCCATCTAAAACTATGACTCGTTTGCCAGTGGTCGTACCATGTTCAAAGAGAACGGTATGTATGCCATCAGATAAAGCAACGTCCCAAGTTGCTACAATATCTGTAGCCATCGTAGTCTCGCTTGTCTTCCGAACGCTAATTTTGGAAGATGTTTACGTTCCTTGTAATTAAATAATTATTATCGTTTACTTATGGCACCGAATATGAGTATAAGGCATACCCAATATGACGACCTCGATGCCTCTTCGTTTTTTACGACTACAATATATGTTAGCTGAAACGTAAGAAGCTTAGCTTAGTGCATAAAGCACAGATAAAGTTCGATTGAATCCAACAAGTCAAACACACAATAATAGAATCGATTTCACGAACGCCGGTTGCTTAGAGGCTGTCAAAATAATAGTGTTTCCACTTTGCTTTTCTGGAAACAGTTATTTCCAACGTTACAGGAAACGGATGAAGAAGGCAAACTGAAAAACCAAACTTTCAAAAGTGTGTCAACAGACTCAAATCACACAACACCTTATATTATCTAGTTAAAAGTTAGGGCCGTTCAATTTTGAAAGCTGCCAGAAACAAACAAACAATAACCATGACGAAAATTGGGTTAAATTGCAACAAAAACAGCTGATTAAAATTTACACTAGGATTAGTTGTACTGTGCTAATCAAGCTTTAAGAGACTGGTAGTCTGATACCTTGTGAGAACAAAGACTAAAGGCAACCATGTTTTATCACTTTTATGGATACTTGTCTTTTCACACTTTTCAGTCTTTTCTTTTAAAACCTTCCATGTTGAAATGTTGAGTGTTCCAAACTTGGTTGATCTGTGAGACTATGATTGAACCATTGAAATGATTGAATGCATTGAGCACTGAGCTGTACTATAATTCCTGGACTGAAGGGAGTGCTCGCCATCATCAACTGAAGCAAAAAAGATGGCGACGAAGTTACAGAAATTCGAGGAGGACTCCCTGTTGTATAGCTCAGTGGCAATGAGCCATTTTAATCACTGATTTTAATGAACACATGTTTCCACTTTCCTTGTATTCCATTCATTTTCCTTTTTCTTTTAGACCAGAGCCACTGACCAGAATAAGCCGAACTTTTGGAAGTTAATATATACCATAACTATGTATATACATACCTTGGTTGTTGTCGAACAGGAGTTATTTTCTAATCTTCAGGTAAAGTTTTGTATTTATATATGGCTTATTTTTGGCATTGAAGGTGATCTGTACAGTAGGCAGGACTTAAATTTGACATACATATATGAAGAAGAGCTGCTAAAATAAAAAATAACCTTACTTTATAAGCTATAGTGCCTAGTGCTACATTTATAATAAATATACAGCCTATATACTTACTGGTCTTTTATAAAAACAGGCTTTTCGTTTATGTAAGTGAATATATTTTATTGGTTTAATTGACAAATGTGTATATACATTTGTTTGAAGATTTAAATAAACAATTGTAAATGGGGAAATATTATATAAAAAAGGTGATAATTTGTATATGGCACTGTATGCCCTGGTGTTTAATAGAGGTACACAGTACTGAGAGTAGAGTAGATTTTTACTGACATAGATTATTTAGATCCCCATGCAGCTATAATATGTGCCCTGACTATAACAACATTTAGGATATTCATTTTCAAGGCCACATAACTGGCTTGTTAGAGAAGGTGAGAAGAGCACTTAGCTCACATTCTGGAATATATTTTTATTTTTCATAGAAGGCTTTGATTGATTCCTTGAATAGAATAGAATAAAATAGATTGTTGTTATACAATGAGTTCATGAGGAAAGGAAGGGCTTTTGGTCAAAGCCAGTGTAATTCACTGCAATTATTGGGTTTATTACCTCTAAAATAAAAACTCTATGTTTGATTGGCAAAAGCTGGTTTGCTTCAATTAAGCAATGCTGGCACTAATTATGATTCTACCAGTCCAGTACAGCCGCACAGCTTTTGAACTTGCCAAGGTGAAATTGCATTTAAAAGGCAGTCCCTATAGTCTGTACAACTGGATTAATCACAGTACCAACCAGTTCAACCAACAACCAACCAGTTCCAAAGGGAAAAAGTAATGCCCAGAGACTCCTAATCCACGAGGCGCTTGTAGTGATACTCTTGTCTCACTGATACATATACACTACATCATGGCAAATAGCACACCAAAATTAAAAGTCTACAGCTATGACTACAATGAAGTATTTCAACCTATCTTTGTTAAAAGTTTTGTTATTCTTTTCAGATACAGTAAAAGATGGCTAATCGAACATCAACTAAGTCAAAAGCAGGATTTCGCACTTTTAAACCAACACCAACATTCCAGAAGAAAGAAGAGAAAGTGCGACAGTCGATACTATTGGAAACAAAAGAGAAACTGCGAAATGATATAAAGAAGATTTTCAAAGATCCTCAATACAGCGATGTAGTACTGGTATCTCATTCCAACGAGTTTCCTGTTCATTCCTTTATTTTGGAAGCCAGATTTCCTGAATTTTTCAATCTCATTCAAAGCCAGCCGCCTAAATCACGCAAGGTTACCATCACAGAGAAGGTGACATATGCTGATTTAGAACAATGGGTTGAGACACTATATTCTGAAGATAACATAGATCGTACATCAATTGAAGAAGCATTGACCTTGAACAAGGGAAAGAGTGGGATATATCCAACTGACAAGGACGTTTCATTGTCCACTGATTTGCTATCACTCTTAAATGAAACATGTACAGGAGATGTCGAGTTTTCTGTACAGGGAAAGTGTATTATGGCCCACAAAGCAATTTTGGCTGCTCGTTGTGACTATTTTTCCGCGATGTTTTCATCATCATGGAGAGAAGAGTCCTCATCAAGCATTACAATACCTGATGTTAGCTCCGACGTATTTCTTGCCACTCTGAAATTCATCTACGGCGCGAGTCAAGATATTCTAAGTTTTCCCGTTTCAAAAGTACTCCCGGTTGCCGATATGTATGGTTTGCAAGATTTGGTGGATTTAATTGTGGTTGACCTGAAGGTTACCAAGTGCCATTTATTTCACAAGCCCTGCACGTACTGTATACCTCAAGTGTACGATTGTTTGAAATTGTGTGAACCTTTCTACCACACACACAATTTCCAAATACAATGCATTCAGTGGATATGTAAAAATTTTCAGAAGACGCTAGAGTGCAAACATTTTCCTCAATTATCTGGGAAATTCCAAAGTGACGTGCAACAGGGAATACTCAAACAGTTGTCGTCTTCAACAGTCGCGGTGACATGGCTGAAGTGCAATACTTTGCTCGCTTCACTAAATAACCTCAACACAAGCTGGACTCAACCAGTTGTAACTTTTGTGGAGGAGATACACGACGCTTGTCTGAAAGAAGCTATAGAAAACTTTCAATATGTGTGCGAGTTGCCAACCATTTCGGCTTTTTTTATAGGAGCCAACAATTCAAGTCCTCTCCTAGAGCAGTTTCTGAATGAAGTACTGAGAAAACAAGCGGTATCAAACTGCTGCTATGTTTTCCAAGGCTTACAAAAACTTGTTAACAGACTTGTTTCGATGGACGAAAGTGAAAGACATTACTGTAGTCCGTTTGACCTTGACTCGGACAGCTTCCTGGTCATACAGGAGAGCCTTAAGCGATGTGAGAAATTTATTATTGGCAGAATTGGGCCAGTTTCACAAACGAACGCCTGGAAGGAGATTTCTCCGTCAAAGCAACAGGAACTAAAAAGTAGTGCGTTTTTTGTCGATTTGTAAAATCATTCAGATGAAATGAGATTTACATGCTAACTGTTCGGTATCAGCAACATTGTTACACATTGATAATATGATGAAAAATAAAATCATTATTTGCATTATTAATATTTCAATTACACATACCATAAACATTCGACCGGTCTATCATGAATCACCATCTTATGCATACAGTCGTACAAGTCAACGATGACCATTAGAGTAGACGACTGGCTCAATTGAAAGGGCTCCTTTATTGGTTGGTGTGTTTTCGTTTTGCTGGATTTTCAATGGCTAGTTTTTTAAAGAGTTCCCAGAATTAAATAGTAAAATAAAGACAATCACAAAGGAATAAATTTGTACATTATATTACATGTACAATATTACAAAAACAGCTCAGGATGCAGTAAACATACAATCGAGAGTGTTGAGAGATTATATAGATCGAGTAAACGATTGGTTTTCAGATATAACGTGCATTGAGTATATAACAGTATTTGATCATGGGAATTACAACAACTTTATGGGTAAACTACAAAGATATAGGCCTGATACTTAATTAGATGATAGTGATAGGAATAAAACCAAATTAAACATCAAAAGCTTCAAAAAAAATAAAATTAGGCAGATCGGAGATTTCTTTAAAAGGACCCTACTTCCTTTGCGCTTCCACTTGAGCGACGATCTCGCGAATTTCCGTTTGCACACCCTAGAATAACAACGAATAATGCGTCACCACATTGCAAAGACAATATGGTATTAAACGTCGAGAAATCACACTGTATAATTGGTGGCTTTGATGAAAGAAATTCATCAGTGATATGAAGTTGGTTAGCCTTACGTGGTTTTGATGTTCACGCCTCAAGGGATTGGGCGAATGATATGAAATTTCGTATGATGGCTAATCAACAAACACAGTGAACCAATAAATCCCTCAGGGAGAAATGGGTCTAGACATCGACGCCCCACTGACGTCACATGCAATCCAAGAATAACAGTATTCCAACTCTTCAGAATCAAGTAACCCTGCACCAACTCTTCAGAATCAAGCAATGCCTAACTCTATTTATTACACATCCATATACGACCATACCTGACTGCCAAGATAGTCTGAAAGAACACGCACAACAACTTCGGTTTCGTCCGGGTTTACACTACGTGGAACTTCAACTAAGGCCCTGTGTCTACCTTGAAGTGACCTAACCTGCAATCATTTAATAAAAATTAAGTACAGAAATCAAATTTATCCGGCTTATCATAATAACAATTGGTAGGGCGCATGCGATTCAATATTAATTTAGAATGGAAATGTAGATACGTACGCTTGGCATTTGCTCAGAGGTACTTTCATAGTTGCAATTACCTTAGCACCCCGCCTTCCAATGATACGACCAACAGCCTCAGGTGGGATTTTTATTTCTGTTCGTAATTGAACAGTTTGATGTGGATGACCAGCGAACCCTTGTTCTTGTATCTTTTGGAAAATGGCCCCTTCAGCCTGCAATCACGCGGAAACACGAAGATCAAAATCACCATGCCGTGATATATATGACATTACACTTGGGGATGACGAGGGTGGCTTTGTCTCCCCCAATCACAACGCGTAAACGTTGCTGCTACATGCACATATCTCTACATGAGAAAGGCGCGCATATTGTTCCTGGTTTATGAATACAGAACTGAACAGTGTGCTAGTACTAACAACCTACGACAGCAGGTTGTTACAGAAAAACTTTGTAGATACCGATGGTTTTTCTTCCAGTCACATACACCCTATATATACTACGTGCATTTCAGCCTGCGCAATGAAGTGACAGATATGCAGTACTACATTCTCGGGGCCTATCTGTGTGCAATCAGTCGCCTCGAGATGCATGCATGGATTTACCAAGTGCAGTATAATAGATTACGAAACATCTGTACAAACCATAGTAAGCTGATGTGGATAGCCACGTAGTTCAACCAGAGTTTCAACAGCATCTTCGTCACTTTTCAACACTTGAACCGAGGCACCTGAAGCGTGTCTTATACCGTTGACGACAGAACCTTCACGGCCAATAATGGCACCCACAGCATTCTTTGGAACAGCGATGTGAATCTTTTCAATCTAATGCAACGATACAGGGATTTATTACAGGGTGTTTGTCTTGGAACGTGAGAGAAATAAACCAAAGTGTCCATACTCTACACACCATAAAAACGTTTTACAAGAGTCTGTTTTGCTGCAACAAAATCAATCGACCACAACATTTTCTTACTGTGTTCACGAAAACGTAGCTTCCTTACAATCAATGTTTATCGCCTAATTGCTTCAGGCGGGGGGAAATTGCGTGCATATATTTCTAGTATATACTTGTGTGCATGTACCGTTTAGGAAGTAATGTAGTCATTTTGTATCTAAAATTATCACATTTTAAGGTATTGTGTACTTAAAAAAAATTGCGATTTTTCACGTGTTGCTCACCTTTTGGCTTGCAGCGCCTTGAGCAGATGGTGAATGCATGCCACTGGCCGACATATAACCACCTGGGTTCATACCATTACCCATATAAGGAGGAGGCTAGAGAAATTTAATAAAGCGATTTATGGTAAATGGTAAATGAAATGTGTCGAAACATACTGTAATAGTGTCATTAAGATGTAAAGAGCAACAAAGAGCACAGCAGATTTCATGTTTTGATAGCTACTGTAACTGCCTTGCTTTGGGGAGAAAAGTAGAAAGCGTGTGGAGAAAAGTAGAAAGCAGCGTGTGGAAAAATTCATGCAGGAATTGAAGGGCCTATATAGTGGCTTCAAGATGCGCATATGATGATAGAAACTTGATTCTATAACGCAGTAAAGGAGTATTGTATGTATATCTTCAAAAAGTTGGCAAAGCATGCGCAGTAGGAGTTCAAAGATCACGTTTATATACTGACTAAGCCAAAAATATGTACTCTGAATTCGTACCATGCCATTAATGCCACGTCCTCCGGTGAGTTGCGCGATCATTGCCATAAGATAAGGATTCGAGAACGGCCCCATTGCATTCTACAAAACGACAAATTATGGCAGTTTTTAATCGATAACGGATAACACCTGGCATACTTAGCATGTGATTAATATTATGAGACCCATATCATTGGCATTAAAAGTTTTCCCATACATAATTTCAGTTATGACACTTGACTCAGACTTCGAACTTTTCATGTGCCGAATTGAAACAAAGACTTTAGGTCACTAACATTAGATTCAGCAAATGAAAAGTTGGACGTCTGAAACAGGCCTTTTACACTAGCAGTATTCCATACTTATGGAAAGTACATATGGTAACCTTTAGCCTCAGGTAACCTATAGCTATATACGGCCGTGTTGATCGTACGAGTTACATATACAGAGAGAAATCTCAAATCTTGTAAAAAGTCTGCAAACAAGTTTTTACAAGTCTGTTCACAAGATTTATACAAAAAATGTTCGCACTGCTTGTCCCGAGCGGTGGTAATAAAAAATTGACGAAGTTGCTCCATGGAGAGTTGTTTGCAAAGTAAAACGTTGGCAACCCAAAATTGCAAGTGCGAAACACAACCGCGTTGATGCAGCGCTTATTTGTTGACTTGCTACAAAATGTGGATTTTTCTGTGTGTATTCCATGCGTCACAAGAGCACTACACCTGGATCAACATGGAAAAATGATATGCACCCATTCCAATTTTTCTTACCTGTGCCATGCGACCATTCATGTTCGCCATGTTGTTGAGATCATCCTGATAACTTTTTCCGTAAAATTCTACTAATTTCCTCTTCCGCGTTGCTACATTTTTCAACAGGATTTTCGAAACTTGGGTCCTCGATAGTGATTATTCTTTCGTTAAAAACTGGCGTGACAGGATCTCTGAGGAACAAAACAACATCTTGATTTTAATAGGCACAATAGAGTAAGACACAATACCTTCTTCCCAAGAGCGCGCTTCTTTTTAGTACAGAAAAAAAATGGTCAGACATGTATATCTTTTTTGATTTAATAAGATTAATTAGTCATTCTCCATGAAAATTGTTTCCAAAAACAGTTTTTCTAACTTCATTTTATATTAACAACTTTTTTTGCAGGAGTATATTTTACTGAATACAAAAACACAACAACCACATCATTATTATTTTTATTACCTAGTTGCATCTATTTTTGTCCCCGTCTTTACTTTGATTTCTTTTAAATTTCTACCCCCTTTTCCTAAATACCGAAGAGGATAAAGTCAACGCTAATATATAAAACCACACTGTGCGGGAAAGACAACCTTATTTGAAACTCACCAATTACTCTACCCATCAGCAAATCAGGCGCTAACATCCTCATTGGTATGCTCGTCTGTTCTTCCCTAGATGAAAAAAAAAACAGAATTGAGCAATGTTGCTATACCCAATTCATTTTCAACAATACTGGCCAATTGTTGTTTTGTGAACAATAGGCAGATCTGTTTGGAGGACGGAAACGTTAAAGACCACATGCCACCCCTCTAAACATGGTGCGGTGCAAAAAACGTTTATTGTTGCCTACCCTTCAGCTTTCTTTTCTGCTTCTTCAATAAGTTTCTGGTGTATTTCCCTAAATGCTGCACTACAATTTTCTCCTGGTCTGTCTGTTTGGCCTGTTATTGTTACAGGCTGAAAACACAAGAAAAAAATAACATGAAATATACGTATCGTTTTCCTGCCGACCCAAGGGACGGTGATACAAGAATGCACTGTACATATATATACGAGTGTACAGCTTTGACCAAGAGGAAAGTCAGAGGGAAATTGGTATAAGAAAACCTCGATTTTGGCTGCGATTTTGTGTGATTTTCAAAAGAAGAAAATCGCACGAAAATCGAAGAAAATGTTTATCAAAATGAAGCTACAAAAAGAAAACGTCTTTTCGGCGTGGAAATTTCAAGACTTTAGCGATACAAATATTAAAATAATTGCCATTCGGAGAAAGAACGGCGAATCATAGGAAATATTCTTTACTTCCTTTTCAGCTATAGTTTTGAAATTTCCGCTCGTAACTCGAAGTGAACTTTCCAGTTTTGGTGTAGTGTTTAATCTTCCGCAACATTAGGTTGCTAAGGCTTTTAAACGAAAATGACTGTAGACAAACCTTAAATCCATTTATATTAACAGTTCTATGTACATCAATTCTAAAATAAAAGCAGGCGGATTAGCAAATATTTTGGGTGCATCGATACTTCGCGGCGTACATGATGAAGAACCTATTCATTGGAGCTAAAAAAATCAACAACTGCAAGGAGTGAAAAATTGAGTAAAGAGGAGCCACATTATACCTTGCATTTGTGTTATTTGACATTTTGCGGACCGTTTCGCCGCCCTTTCCGATGACAGCACCAACCATGTCGCCAGGAATTAATATTCTAAAAATGAAAAGCAATTGAATGCATCCTGACGGTTTGCCTTAGATTACGGGTTTGCCTTAGATTACGGGTTTGCCTCAAACCAGAAAAAGGTGGGGTTTTTTGTGTTTGGCAAAGCATTGTTTTTGTTTTTGGCAAACGCCGGGTAAGCTTGGCAATTTTTGGTCTTAGACAAAATATCCTTAACGAACTTTTTTTTTTAAACTTGCTAATCCCTCTTTTCTAAATTTGCTAAAAAACTCGATCAACCAGATAGCTGCAATCAAAGGCACATCAAAGTTGGATCATGCATTTTCCGGATCATAACAAGAACATCTCAATTTATATCTCACCTTAAAGGCATATTAGCATGACTATTCTGTCTATTCCATCGAGGTCTATTTCTACCGCCCTGTCGATTCCTTTGCTTTGTCGTGTCATCATATAATGGTTGGGAATCATCCTCAAAATATGCTAGCTGCAACACAACGAATGTAAGCATTATACATACACATATATTAGGACGAGTTCTTCGGTAGTAAGGTAATGTCGAATGATGTAGTTTTTCTTGCATGCAACCTGCTACCCAGTTCTGATGTAAGTATTGTACCTCTGATATCCTTACCTCTAATCTACTACCGTCAAAATCAATTCCATTCAAATCATCTGCAGCCCTTTAGTTAAATATAAATTGAAAAACTGAATATTTTACAAAGCAATTGCAGGCAAAATTTGCAGATTCAGCTTTTGCCAAAATAAATTGCACACCCCCCCCCCCCCTTGTGACACAACAAACAGCAGAGTTCTGGGGACAAATTTGATTCAAAATTTTTTTTATAAATTCAGTGGAAAATTTTGAATTTTGCAAAGTGAAGGATTGATATAAGTACAGTACCATAACTTTATAATAGAAAATCCAAAATAAGTTGTCAAAACTATACAGTATTACAAATTGTACCTTCTTGCATTATTTGGGTCTGCAAATTCAACAAAACATGTCAACAATGACTGGTCATCTACATAAACAGAGATTAAAAACCTTATTTCAAAATTGGATCTTCATAATTCTGACATTACAGTATATTCCAGCCAAAGTATACATGTGTTGTTTAATTCCATGCAAAATATTAGGTGATCAATGGTGAATGCTTTTCCACCAAAGAAAAAAAGCAGATTAAGGTTTTATACATGTTGATAAAAATTATTCGGTTTTAGTTGCTATTATAAAAATTTCTTTTATATCTGGAAAAAAGTACAGGTCTATGATAACTATTCAGACTTTTGAATGGAATATCTTAAATCCAAAATTTAAATTACCACATTTTGGAAAGTAGACAATGTTTACAAAAACCTTAAAAATAAGCAATATTCTATAAGCAATAATAAGCATCCAAACAGAAATGCAATTCTACTTGTTGGTTTTAACAATTAAAAAGGAAATTAAGCATAGTTTGGTTGCTCTATGTCCAAACAAGACATGCTTCATACCCCATCATGTTTACTGTAGTTGTAAGAAGTTCAATTACCTTCATCAGTTTGAGAAGTTGTTTTAAAAATTTGTCCATATGACTCTATGTGAGTTTGAAATGCCTATAAAAATTAATTACGCAAACAAGTGAAACAACAAATAACTAATAATGGGTAGTTGGTGTTGCACCACAGTTATTATACTTTGTGTGGAACAAGCATTTTTAAAAGTTGATAATGGGGTGAGTATAAAACTAGGGATCCAAGGATAGTGCAAAGTTTTCATGCCCTGTAATACCTAAGCAACACGTTTTCCCAACATAAACATTTTGACTTATGCCAGTAAAAATATAATGAACTAGGTTAAACATTAATCAAAAGGAAATTATTCAAAGTACTCAAGTTACGTTAGCCGCGGATATTGTCACTATTAAATTATAATTTTAGTTGCCCATGTAAACCGGACGCGATTTTCTCAGTTTAGTCTCTTTTCTTCGTCAAACAACTGTGACTACATTCACTACATTTATATGATGGCAACAATTTATCGTCATTTCATAAGAATAGCCAAAATAGTTGCGTTGTAAATAATGTAAATAAACCGCGGTGCATATTATGTCTATGATGTGGATACTTCGACGCGTAGCTAAATCGATACAAAACAATATACATATAATCAATACTGTATACCGCCAAAATGATTTGATTACTGCACAAAATGTCCGTTTTGTATAGTATCATTTATGTACTGTATGCAGAATACCAGGTATCGACTTGCTATATATCGACATAATATATATTCGTCATTCGTGTAAGAGATCTATCAATACATAAACAACACAGTGTCGTTTCTTCCTAACCTATTAGCTCTATTTATGGAATAAACCTTCCAAATTATATTTGTGTCGAATTGAATGCTCGTAATTCATAACATAAGTTGATAAATTGCGTAGATTCTCAAAGAATTGCACGATTTTTACGCTCGGAATGTTTTGAAGCAATGCTCGTCGCTCGTCGTTTCTTTACATCGTGAATAATGTTGAAGGCTCGACGGCACATGCGCAGTTGCGACGTATAGGAAAAAATCGGGTGTTCCGGGGGTAAATCTGCGCAAATCCCTTTGAAACAAAACCCAAACCGCGGAAAAGCAATGCTTTAAAATTTACAGTAACCGTCAAAATTCCTCAATATTTTGGTGAACTTAGCAAAAGAGAATTAATAAATAAAGCAAGTTAAACTGATTTAAAAACTTTAAATTACTGATTATATACAAAAAGCTACTATACGCATAAAAACACTCCGCCCCCCGGAGTTTACACTATGACTGACTGACTGTCTGACTGTCTGATGTGAATTTTCGCCACTCACCACAATACTGCAAAGTTTCACAGAAACTTTGCACTAAAACTGATGTGTTGTTTTATCGTACCTGCCAATTAAAACTTGGTCCAACTTTGGAAACCTGGAGCCTCCCTCTAAAAACATTGAAAAATATATTTAGCTTTTCGACTACCTTTACTACCATACAAAATAACAAATATATTATATTTTATTATATGCACTATTAAATGTTTAATAAAGAGATAAATGCCTCCCTACAAATAAATATCCAAAAACACAAGGGCTAAATTGCACAATCAGCATTTTCAGTTTTATGACAGCAAAACAAATTAAGCTGTGTCTTATTGTTTCAAGTGTACTTAAGCTTCAAGACATACTTCAAACTAATGTATATAAACCTCCCCAGCTGCCACTTGCATCTGTAACTGGCAGGTAAAAGTCTTATAAAAATTAATAATTTATCAGTCTAGCAACAATAGAACTTAAGCCTCTTACAGACAAGCAAGTTTTCTATGACAAGTTTTTATATGACAAGTTTTAATTGGCATTTGCACTGTGTATGTACAACATATTTTTTATAACAGAAATTTTCTTTGAACAGTTTTATTTCCTTGTGTGAACGTGCCAACAAGTTTACTTTGACAATTTAGTTTGCAGCTAGCAATGTGATCGTACAGAGGACAATGTGTGCATGCAAAATACTCCGCTGGTATACTTGATTTTGAACAAGTGTATTTGTCATAGAAAAAATTGTCAAAGTTGGGCGTACAGACGGACAATTAAACTTGTCATATAAAAACTTGTCATAGAAAACTTGCTTGTCTGTAACTTGTCATAAAAAAACTTGTCATAAAAAACTTGCTTGTCTGTAAGAGGCTTTAGTAGAGCACACTGACCCAGTTACCAAGGCTGGCTTGCTCCTATATCATGACACTTGTACCTTAAACATGTGATTAGATGTGTTTTTGTCTATTTTAGACAGTTGTTTAATATATCCTATAGATTGGATATATTAAAGCTATTAAAAGATGGTACCAAATTGTTTCTCGGTTACTTAGTGATATTTTATATACTTGGATTTGGACTCAGATATGTGCAACAGTTAAACGTAAGTAAAATTGTAGAATGTATCAAGGGTGTGCATTTATTAAAAAAATCCCCAGGTATCTATTATAAACACACCAGATACATCTCAAGTGCATCTTAAGTGCATTAAATCATAGATAATTGTCAATCATGGTATAAACATGGTTTTTTTGTCTCTAAATATGTGATTGTAACTATGCAACTGGCCTCTTGTTCACACATTAATTTCAGTTGGTTTTTTATTATATCTAAACAATCTCCTTTTGCAACATTTAATCTGAACAAAGCTCCCCCAGAAATTGCAGTCGGAAGTGGGTACTGATACTATTTCATAGACAAGTCCTGGCATATGAATATGAGACATTTTGAATATCCACTTATCTCTTTTCAAAAGGAATTGTCTATGAAGTTCCTGTTTATCATCTAAAATTTCAGGCCGTTCAAAAGAAACGAATGTTTACGAAACATACGTGTATAGCCATCGAAGTCACATACCTTCTGACTGGAGGGTTCTGGCCGGATGAGCCCATGAACTCCTGACCTACAGTGGGGGAAGCAACACGGACGTTGTTAATTTGCAATAAACATTACTTTGAATTCAATAGAGAGAAACAACTGAGCAACAAAACGAACAGCACTGTTTAAACTATCGATTGATCTCAATACAACCTCTATTTTCGTTAGCTAGAAGTATAGATTGACAATAAAACGATTCACCGGGAATACACAAACGAAGCTACGCCAGATATATTTTGAAAGACAACATGTACAATTTCACACGTGTATAGCACCTTTGTTTTGCCTTGTAAAGCCGCCCAGATATATTCACTTGCTCAGCTACATAGCCTAATGTCACGACTAGAAGGCCACCTTATGCTACGTCGTGAACGAGGCAATCAAAGTTGCATATTGCAGGTGAACAAAGCGAACTTTTGTTCCCGACTTCAATATAAACCACAACAAGTTCGTTTGCAAAAGCTGTTCGAGCTGACGCCAGCACTGTCGTCAAAATTGAGCGAAGCAAAACCGCAATTGTTCATCGGCATTCGTACAAATGAAACAAGAAAGACCTACCGTTCAGATCTTCCATATTTATTTCCAATGGCCAACTGGAAGAATGTAATAAAATTCCAAGCAGATAAAATGGTGGAATTCACGCGGCCCACGATCGATAATAAAATCAGTACGGTATACACAGTGGGCGAAGTTAAAACGACACTTAAAAACGCCGGTTGATAAAAACAAAACAAACAAATTGACGAAGGAAAACTCCTAGCAGATTACTACGCGATGAAACAACAATAATTTACAACACAAGTACAATTCATAGTAAATTCCTCGCACGAGGTTCGTCAAGATCACCGACCCCACGTGCCAGAAAAGATACACTTGATCACATGACCGCGGGTTGTTTTTGTGCGTTTTTCTTCAATGTTGATTGGCTGATTTCTATGACGCAATTATTCCAGTATTGAGATATGTCACAAGCTTCAAGCGCCCTGGTACTTCGAAATGAGATCTTCAGATTTTAAAATACGTTTTCTACGTAATGAAAACCGTATTTTTAAAATATACCGTATTACTGTTGACTAACGATGGACGAGGAAGCAATATTATCATTCACTCTATCGTATACTCAATTTTGATTGGTTCATTTATCTGAGTTAACTGCGTGCAAATAATACTCTGAGCATGCGCATTTTTTCAAAACGTTGCTTAGCTGCAAAAAATTCTAAATAATTCTCTGAGCATGCGCATTAACTTCAATTTTGTAAGCAATAATGGCGACTTCTCGCTTTGCTGAATTCACTTTCGGGAAATGAGTTGTATTGTTGTATTGCTTACTCGAAGAAGAAACGCGGAAAATATCAAAAAATAGTCTCGAAAATATTAAGATAAGTGAATGATAAAACGATTATTGAACTCAGTTCTCGCAAAATATCGTGATTTGTCGGTGGTTCGCAGATGAGTTATTTGCCTCGCCACCGACAAATCACGATATTTTGCTCGACCTCGTCCAATAATAACTTCTTATTAACCGAACGCGAGGTCTTTACCGAGAAATATCGGACCGAGGTCTTTTTGTCGCCCAACCCAAGGACCGTCGCCAGGAGAGTACATTATTTGGTGCAACATCATCACCATTACCAGTGACCTCCGGAGTTCCGCAAAGATCAATCCTTGGTCCGTTTCTATATCAGGACAATCTCTTCAGAACTATTAACCATTCTAAGATTACGACGTTTGCTGACGACACAAAGATTTACAAGGTGATAAACTCGGAAGCAGACGCATCTTCCTTGGAGAGTGATCTTACGAATCTCCAGACTTCCTCTGGCAGCGCTAACTTCTCTTAAACACAGACACTTCGAGTCACTAGAAAACTGTAATAAAATCGACTATACCTGCAAACTACAAAATTCCGCCCTGAAAACAGTAAAAAGTAGTGAACGTGATCTCGGCGTTTGGACCTCTTCCAATGGCAATGCACCCAAGCCAATAAATCACTTGGGTATATTCGACGGTCCCCTAAAAATCAAGACAATCTCAGTTCGTCGGACCTTATTTCTAGCACTCGTTCGTTCCCACCTCACTTATGCGTCCCAAGTCTGGGCTCCACAATCTGTTCACCTCGTCAATCGTACAGGACGCATTTAAAGACGGGCGACGAAGTACATATTGGACCTACCCTTCCTCTGTAAAATCAATTATAACCATCGTCTATCAACATTAAATCTATTACCTGTATCTGTTACTGGCACGTGTACCTGGATATATTGTTCCTATTTAAATCACACCATGAAATTATAAACTTAAGCAGTGACATACTACCTCACCCCGGCTTCAGTTTTAAGTAGACGCACCCGTTCTGCAAATCATAACTGCCTACAATTTCAGACTACAAAGTTGAGAAGTAAAATGGACACAGGGCCGTAGCTTGAAGCGTATACACCTCCTCGACCCTCCCCTAATGAGGCGGTCTAGCTATGGGCCTGAATGGACAAAAAACGAGCGACAAATTTCCGAATGGCCGCAAAAACGGTGTATTAACACATATGCGCTTACCCCTGGCAAGGAATTGATAGTTTACACAACGCCCGGTTAGCGAAGAAAAGAACTGTTCGAAGTAGCCAGAGGGGCTTATAATAGTCCGGCTGGAATTTAAAGATGAAAAGTATGAAGAGTATGCGATAATGATGATGCAGAATATGATGAAGCCGAACAATGGACGCAAGCTTGTAATACTGAGTACATAAAGTTTTCTAAGAGGTGTGTGAAAGTGTGAAAGATGATGATTTGAGTGATAAAGCGCGAAAACTGCGAATAATGATGATGCAGGGGCATATAGTTGAAGGACCCAATGGTGAAGTGAACAATAAATCCGACAATGGAAAACACCCAGCCACTTTACCATAAAGCATGGAACTGAAGCCAAAATAACCCAAGTTCGATGATGATATACTAAAACTATTGTCATATAAAAACTTGTCATGACTCATGGAAAACTTGCTCGTCTGTAGGAGGCTTAAAGGTGATTATCAAACGCGCAGAACGGTTCACATTCAAAACGGTGTAAGAACCCTCATGAAGATACCCTCTCCTTTAAAGTTCAGGTAGATGAAACCGAGAAGAAAGAGAATGAGGCAATATCGCGTTAAACTAGCTATTAAGAAGGCGCGCCATTTTAACGCCATTTGAGTTACATGCACTGACACGTGGGCCACAATGGGTCACATACTTATATCCCAATGAGCTACAATCATGCACCGTGCGTCAAGAATCTTTTCGAAAAACGCGAATCCTCGACACCGCTTTGAATTTTGTCAAAGGATCGTTGAAAGAAGAAAATTACAATAAATAAATTTACACACAGATAGAACAGAAATGGTACAGGTTATCTGAAATAACAGAGTTAAACTAGTCAGATAACCGTTGATGCTTTCTGCAGGAAATGGTCAAGAGATGATTCACAGCTTTTTACACCGCTAAGAAAATGGAATACTCAAAATCGGTCAATGATTACGTCATAGTATCTGATCTTCACTCAATAAGAAGAAAATGGAATGCTGGAAAGATAGTGGAACTGCATGCCGTGACGATGACAACAGGGAGATACAGCCGACCGGTCATTATGTATTGTGGGGGGGGGGGGAAGCAAAGGGTTTCGTTCAGTGACGGGATTAACTCGGAATGAATGACGTTGAATTACGTTCGGGATTAACGCTCGAGATACGCAACGAATCGAATGTAGCAAAAAACCCGTTATATTTGTACGTTTTGAAATGTAAGAAAAAAAAGAAAGAAGGGATAATTTGATCTGGGACAGATGTAAGTTGAGCGATAACTCAATCATAATTTATTGCCGAATTTTGAAGCAATGAAAAAGCCATTTTGGATCACAAAATGAACACAATATGCCAGAGGCAGTTGGCATAACGACTCCACCAGGGTTGGAGGACTCGATTCATCATCAATCATAATTAATCTGGACGTCGCATAACTGCAGTAACTGCGTACACTCAAGCTTCCCTTAGCGTCATTTTTCATAGTCTGTACCTGTCTTTCGAAAGCGTAAAACCATGCAGAAATACGGTATTGTAAAGTGCTTACAATTTTATACTGGAAAAACCTTCTCACAAAAACCTATAGAGCCTTCTCACAAAATTTGTTCACATTCCTTACTTTACAAGATATTGCCGATCAAAAGCACCGGCTATCGAGATATATCCGCCATCTTGTTTTATCACGAGAAAAAATAACACAAAAAACAACAAGTACATGTTTATGCTTTAGTTTAGAACTCTAACAATTTAAACGCTATAATTTAAGATACGTGCATGAGATGGTTATGCATACATGGTTATGCATACTATATACACGCAGTCATGCATGAGTCGATTAGCATGACAAATTACAATAATGAAAATACCAGTACTCAAGAAAATAATATAAGACGCTCAACTGATGAGCCTGAATAAAGCCGGTTTTCCACTAGCGATATTATTCGCGCGAAACGTCTTTATTCTTTTGTATTTGAGCAATTTGTTCCAGATGGTTGCAGTTGAGAGCTCTGAAACAAAAGTAAAATGTCGCTTCGCGCAAAAATTATCGCTAGTGGAAAACAGGCCTATAAGGGGAAACGTCGATCTTTAACGGCAGTACTGGTGAAATATAGGAATATACATCTCCTTGAAATACTTCAAATGCTTTTAATTTCCTAATTTTCAACTTTAGCAAAATCATGCGAAAATGTACCAAAAATATCTTTCTATATAGATTTTGTTTTAGGTAAGATAAATTTGGTCCCGGCGTCTACATGCGTGTTTTACGTGCAAATGGATCAAAAAGCGCGCGTAAATGATGCATGGCCAACCATCAACATAGCTTGAGTTGAGGCGTCTACTACGACGCGCTTAGCTTAGAGAATTATAGCTGTATCCTTTTCATTCGGTTCCGAACGATTTAATGAGTATGAAAGAATTATGAATTTCATGAATCTCATTCTTTTGTAAATATAAGTCAAGGTCCAATTCCATACATAATATATATAGGATATCACACGGTGGCGAGTATATAGATATGGATTTTATGTACCACTAGCTGTCTTTGACACGAGAACTGAGAACATAAAATATTTCTCTTCGAGCGAACCGTGTAATGTTCTGGAGCCGATTGTATCAAGCCACTGAATATGAAATTGTAGACAGTATTTTTGTATCAAGGTAAAAAACATTTAGCTCACTGTTTGAATAAAACGATAGAGTTGCTTTCTATTTTGAACTTAACCACCGTTTAAGCTAAACAGGCTTGATACAACCGGCCCCTGTTTATTATATATATGGACTAAATTATGAGTGACAAAAATACACACATGCAAAGACGACAAGTAAATCAGCCCTGGAAGACCATGATAAAAGCGAATATTTTTTAAATTCTAATCCAAACATTAAAGTATAATAAATTTTACTTATCTATAAGGATGTATTTTAAGTGTTTTCGTTTGTATTTCCGACGTTAATCGAAACTAGTTTTGTTTCCGAAACTCGTTTTGTCTCCCCAAACGTAACATACTGAAAATATCCGCACTGTATACCCCGGATGTAATGGCGCATGTATATAGTTGCGTATAATAGCCCCATCCATGCAATAAATATGTATATTTCGCCTGTTCCTTTGTTCTGAATTACGTCCTGGTGCGTATATACCCAAACTAATTCCGCATACCTACACTTAATACTGTGTTAATGTTAACTAGGGAACATGATGCGAACGACACTTCAAAAAACAACTTGCCAGGCGTATTAGTAAACCGGTTTGGGAAATAAACATCAACCTGCCAAATGGAGCTGTTAGGTTAGGCATGTTTACTTCCCAAACCGGTTTGTACATGCATTCATGCATTTCTTCTCTGCTCCGCTATATACTAAACTATCGAGTACGTTCGAGATACCAAACAAAATATACATCGCTGAAAAGCTTCACATCTCGGTGGTCAGATATTCCAAGGTATTGTATAAATAGCCTCTAATTCGACCAGTTATACTACAGTCTAGAATGAGATATATCCTGGCATATTCATATGACCCCACGCTTTAATATGCGTGAGCTTAAGTGATGATTAATTTCGCGTGCATTCCGGCCTAAATCCAAAGGGAATTTCAATGTATACAAGCACGAGTCGTTGGCTTTAGTTATAGCGACATATTTGACGTGATTGTGTGTAAACGTATAATATAAACTAAAATAAAGGTATACTATAGACGTTTATTGCTGATTATTTTTAATCTTGTCCCACAGATATGCATGATTCGCATGCATGCGTACACCATGATGTACAACAACACCCTGTTGTACGTTTTGCCTCGATAAATACCACAACCCAAATGCGACTAGCATGCGATTTGGCTAATCTATATTAAATGGTACAAATCTGCAATCCCCATATAGAGAATCTGCCGAGAAAAGGAGTTCAATCATGCGATGATTCTGTATAATCTATAATATAGAAGTGTTCAAAAGAGAATCACACGAATTGATTCCTTTTTCCTGAATAAACGAACCATCCAGGGTCAGTAACCTAAAATAGTGTGACGGATGATCAGGCAGAAAATCTCCCTTTTTCTTTTTTCTTGAAATCAAATGTCCTCAACTAAGTCGGTCATTTTCGCCCGTTATGATTATGTTAATAGTTATGCAGATAATTCTCGAAATGCCCACAGAGTGGTATATAGGTATACAATCAATTGTATATCTCTGATTTGGCCGATATATAGTATATATACATAAAAATAAAAAACATCGTTGATAACATTGGCCATATATTCAGCAATAACACTTTTGAAATGTAATCTGATCGCGTTATATCAATGCGAATGGAAATGCATTTCACAAACATGCATGGCACGGCCAATTGTGCCTTTCATTGACCTTGTCAAAAAATATCGTATTCGATGTGTTCGCAATTCATGATCACGTAACGATTCACTTCATGTCACGATTTGACTTGATATATACCTATATAAGCTTGTATAATATACGCGTTTTACAATAAAATTAATCACCCGTAAGACATCTGCACGACGGAAGCAATATCGAGTCACAAAATATGCATGCATAGCTATATACCTGCAATATGACTTATAGTAAGAGGTGTGAGGCTTTTTGCGGGTTATTCAGCAAAAGTAGGGAAGCTTGGAAAAATTGAGCAAAAGGTTCAAACCGAGAAGATATAGGAAAAAAGTGGCAAAGTTTGGCATCTAGACTGTAATTATATTATTACCACTGCGATGCATGACATTAAACAATGACAATTTCCAAATGTTCGTTTCTCTCAGTAACTTTTACGTCACGTTTACAAATACAATCATTCCTGCATGTATGCATGGTATTTATGTTTATTACTACTACCCACTTCTCTACTAAATAAATTCATTCCTTTTAACCATCCACTTCCGAATTGTTAGAAACAACTCCTTATCCTTAGGAAAAACTCCTTATCCCCTTAGGAATCGAGAATTTTAAGAAGTGTTATATAGCTACAGTTTAATTGCAAATTTACCGGCCTAACCGGTTTCGCTTATTAACATTATTGCTCTCATGAAATTGTCAACGACTATCGATACAACTGAATGCCATTGTAAATGTAAATTCATTGAAAGTAATGTTTACAACAAGAGCGGCCGTGTTGTATTGAATATATACAAACTAATTTGTATGGGGAATACTGTGCATGTGACCTAATTCACGAAATTTTCCTGGGTATAAATCATTAATTTTTCATGACTTTCACAAATAAATTTAAAGGACAGTACTCTGTTTAAATTGCAATTGAGTGCCACAAATTTTCTGAATCCGATCCGGTGTCCCAGGAAATTTGCCCCCCCCAAAATTTGGCCCCCCCGGGCCATATTTCCTAGGAAATTTGGCCCCCTCGAAAACATATACTTTATTCCCCTGAGTTCGAGAATCGCGAAGCTTCTTCTAAAAACAAGATCGTAAATGTTTGTATTCATACTTATAGTTTGCTTAATTTATTTCAAAAGCTTTTCATCTCAGCGAAGAGCTAAGACGAATATTGTTTTAAATGTACACGTGGCTAACTTCTAGGATTATCATAACATTACTAGGGGCTTTAATCGAAAAATAAATAAATAAGTGGTAATTTCCTAAAACAGCCTTTCCTATGTATGTATAACCGCTAAGCCTATGATTTATAAGGTCGCCAAATTAAGAATTTCTGGGGAGGGCAAATCACGTATTGCACAGTTCGGAAATTTGGTCCCCCTGGATAACATACTTTATACTCCCCATATATATATAAAATATATAGTTTTGAAATCGAGAACTTTTGACTCAATATTCAACAAGTTTCTGAACCTAATATGAAATTCGTCAGAATAACAACCACACTTTAGCAAGCGATGACAAATGCGTTGGCGAAAGTGTTAATGTGCATGCGGCTAACATTTAGGGAGTAATTAATACAAATTTGCATAAAAACGTTTAAAAACAATCGGCAAACACAAAAACAGGTAACATGCACTATATAAAATCCGTCAGTGCTGTTTGTAAGTTGTAACTCAAACCACGGCTAGATAGACTTTTATACACTTAAAACTTTTATACACTTAACGGTTCTCTAGCTCTAAAATGGTAAGGTAAACTAAGTTTTTTAGAGGGGGGCCAAATTTCCGAAGGGAGGGCCAAATTTCCTAGGATATTTGGCCCGGGGGGGGCATATTTCCTAGGAAATTTGGCCCGGGGGGGCCAAATTTTCGGGGGGGCCAAATTTCCTGTGACACCGGCCGTCGTCTGTACCAAATGAATCAACATTAGCCTGGCTTATAACTGAAAGGTTGTAAGAACATTGAACATATACTAGTTTGGTGCGTAGAACGTTTTTCAGTCTTGCTGATATTGTTAAAACTGTAAAAAGCTATTGTTTTTACCTTAACACGTATACGTGTCACTAACTATTGAAAAAATATATTACTCTTTTGCTAGAGAGTAGCCGGAATTATGGCCCTGAAGATAAATTTCACTTCGTTGAAGAACTTTGTCTTCTACTATATATCGTTTCGTCTGTTGACGGAGGGTATTGAAGAATTTCTCATCCAGCCAACTGCTTGGTATTATATCAACTTTCTGGGAGAATCAAATGTGTTTCTTGGATTAACTTTGGCTGGTTATTCCGCGGGTGCTTTATTGTTCGCGCCGGTTGTTGGTGTTCTGGAGGTGAAATTTGATGTTTCGAAAATACTAACCGTCATGTGTGCTGCTGTGAGGTTCGTCGGTAATTTATTATATTCAATTCCAATCAATGGATATTTTCCAATGGTTGGAAGGTTTATATGTGGTCTGGGCGCTAGTACAGAAGGAATATTGTTCGGGGTTATAACTAAAGGTACTACCAGTAGAAATCGTGCAAAAGCATTTCTATATCTCGAAGGTCTCTACTGCCTTGGTACCACATGTGGACCTATACTTGGTAGCGTTCTAACATTCAAAATGGACATATTTGGTTGGAAAATTAACGCAGGTAATTTTCCCTATATATAAACAGTTAATTATGCCGGTTTTCCGCTAGCGATATTTTTCGCGCGAGAAGCGAATTTATTCTTTGTACTTGAGCAATTTGTTCCATGCAAATGCACGGTTGCAATTGACATGCCGCTCTGAAGCAAAATGTCGTTTCGCGCGAAAATTCTCGCTAGTGGAAACCGGTCTTACACAAAGCAAATTTCACAGCAATTTGCAATCGAATTGCTATATCTTCGCGTTTCTGCTGCAAGGAAAAGACTAGGTATAGACTTGAAAGATTTGGCTTCACATTTCCGCCTGGAGGTTGCATTTCAGTTTATTGCAGTTCAATCTTTACTGATCTCAAAATAGTTTAAACTGATAATATAAACCGGTCTTTCAGTGTAGTTTATATAGTCTGGGCAAACAAGCATAAATGAATTTGTAGGCCGAAAAAAAATTACGAAAAACAATAACTAAAGGAGCTTGAGATCTAGAAAGGCAACACGACGACAACATTGTAGCATATAGTTGAAATCTGGTTTAGTTATTATTAAAGGATGGAGATGATCTGTTTATGAACGGCTTGAAAGAATTCAATTAAATCGAATTTATAATTGAATTAACGTGAGATAATGCTCGGCCAGGAAATCACGCATTCTATATATACACATACATTTGCCAATCTCAGCACGTACGTGATTTGCCTCGTCAAGCAAACTAAACAACGTTGGCGACTTCTGGCGATTAGAGAAGTCCAGTGAGATTTAAGAATTCACTTATACTCATTATTAGCTGTCGTCGTCGTCAAAATCGGCGTCGTAGGTCTTAAAGGCCGGCGCACACTAGAGCTATGTGCTTAGCAAAAAGTCATTCGTGGCCATTGGTGTAAGCCAGTTGCTCTCGTGTGCGGGCGACTTTTCCAGTGACTTTCGTCATTCGTGCCAAAAGTCGCCGGAAAAGTCGCCCGCACACGAGAGAAACTGGCTTACGCTGATGGCCACGAATGACTTTTTGCTAAGCACACAGCTCTAGTGTGCGCCCGCCTTAACATCTTCAATATTCCAGATCGCGAGATATTTTAGATTAATAACATGCATTATCGCGATGCATGTGCAAAAAAAGGCCTGTAATGATTGCCTCGCATTATGATGTATATTTCCAATTACTGATAATTATGAGACAAATTTCGTCTGAAAATATTGATCAAAAACGCGTACACAAGAAGAGATGTTTCTATGTAGGGTGGTCCTTCCTCTTTCCAAGACACTTGAAGCTCATCCGTTTTAGTTTTAGCTACTTCTGTTTAAATTTTTTATATCTTCTTGTTCCAACTTTTCCTAGGAAACTCACCAGGAGTCGTTCTGATGCTTATTTGGTTTACCTTACTAATGTGCGCACTCTTTTTACCAAACGACCTCGCGGAAAACACAGGTGATGGAGAGAGGTCAATTATTGACAGCGACAATTCCTCCCCATCATCAAAAACAACCGCAGAACATGATAACGGACCTCCTTCTTCGTCGTCGATGATTCGTGAAGAAAACTCAGCTGGGGGACTGGGAACAGCATTGTTAGATGACGACAGCGACGATGGTATTAGCTTATCAAAATCACTCGCTTGGCATGGTTGTCCTCCATCGTCCATGGTATTTTGCATGTATTACCTGATCTGTCTGTCATACTTCGTCTACATGGTTATCTCATTTTACGTCCCTCTACTGGCCAAATATAATCTTGGATTGAAACTTATCCACGTGAAGTTAATTTACCTCAACAGTTCTCTGTTTTCCTTCGTGTTGTTTCTTGCCACCCCACTCATTTTGGAAAACGTCTGCGAAACAACTTTTCTCGTTAGTATATTTTTTCAGATTATTCCAATTTCATGTACATTCCTTCTCGCAATTTTTTGGAACAGTCCAATGTCGGTCGAGAAAAAAAGTTACCTCATCCTTTGTTCGATGCTGTTGTTGAGCGCACAGTTGGTAAACTCTCCAGTAGCTTCTTGCCTACTTTCAAAATTAACCCCGGTGAAGAGTGCTTCATTCTATCAAAGTCTCACCTATACTGCAGTACATATGGGAATTTGTCTCAGTCGCCTGGCAGGAGGGTCAACATTTGCTAAGATGTCTATGATGTATACTTGCATTGTTCTTGCTTTTTGTTGGCTTTTTGGAATGATTTGGTTGCTTTATGAATATCGCAAATTTGGTCGTGCCACCGATGACTGAAGGCTGTTTTTCATCATGGTCGCATGAGCAGGCGAAGCGGACGTAATGGAAAATTGCCTTAAGTACAGTAGTAATGCAGGATTTCCACTTGCAAAGATATGGTTCGGTAGCGAAATATTTGCTTATTTTCTTTTGAATTTTAACATTAGTTATTAATGATTAGTCAAACTCGACTGTTCTTAAACTAAAAGGACTGAGATATATATGCAAATATTTAGCACGTTAATAAGACATACAAGGTGTCTCAAACAAAATGGAATGGAATAAACCGACATTTAAATAGGATAAGTTGAATTGCATCGGAAGTAAGTGATTAATTGGATGAAAATGTTATGGCAAACTTGCCTCATTAAAGTCAAAACGATGTGGTTTTTGACCAGACGTTTTTAACACACGATTATTTGGTAATTTCTGGCCATTATGGCATTAATAAAAGATATTGTTTCAAAGTTAATGATCTCCTCTTTCTTTATGTAAAAATTAAATCGTTTAGACTCAATATTCAATGCATTACGGTTGTTTATTTACGTATAGTTCAATGTTGAAGTGGCAAATCATTCGTTTTTTCAGACACCTTGTATAGTTTTATTGGCACGCCATCCACAGAGAGGTGGAAATATGTTTCACAAAAGTAACTGGCTGTCTAGCTCAACTTGTACATATATTTTAGAAAGCTGGCGCTCTTGCATTAAAACGTTCGCAGCTTAAAAAAACCCAAATTTCTTCTTGGGGCCTAATTGCTTAAAATGTTTGCTGCAATTGGAAGTAAGATTTGTATAGCTGGAAGCAAAATGCTTTGTAAATACGATTCTCACAAGTTACCTGAAATTGCATTTGCGTGTTTGATAAAAGTTATGAATGTATCACTTTGAAAAAATATGTTTACTAAAAGAATATTACCTTTCATGGATCCCATGCATTGATGATCTGAGTTGCTCGTAGTCACTTTTATATAATCCCAAGTTGGCACGGAGCGCCGTCAAGGGTACTAATTCCGCTGATAGATTAGGAATTACACCCGGGTATTGGGACACAACATAGTGGGATCCAAAGACGTGCGAATCAGTCTATGTCACTTCATATAATTATACTATTTTGATGTTTTTCTGAAGCATCAATAAACTACAGGTTGAAATTTCAATAGTTACCTACGCTGCATGGTACATTCCATAAAACGCCTTCAGAAATCAGGTGACGTGAAATTTTTATGACTATAAATTCATTTCGTACCAAAGATAGAAATATTGGCTAACGACGCAATGCCATTGAGTCATTTCATGATAATGTCACTAGTCTAGCTATAGCCAGAAGATTATTTGCTTGGTTACAGCTCATTATTTGCAATTTAAAAAATGATGGTTATATATTTGGCCACATTTTTGTTAAAATCTCGAGCCTTTAGCATTCTTCAAATAAACGTTTAAACTTAAAACTTTGTGGGGATGTAACAAAACTACCGGCGTTTGTTACATGTAGCCATGTACTATAGAGAGTTGCAAAAAAGCTGCGAGTACACGGTTACCACCCGTGAGGAAGGTCTGCTTTAGCGCACTTGCCTTTCACCTCTAAGGCCACGGGTTCAAGCCTCAGTGAGAACTTTCTCATTGTGACTCGATCCCAGTCCTCATGTGAAAAGAGTAAAAAGTCAGCGCTCTGCCGAAAGTCGTGGGTTTTCTCCGGGTACCCCGGTTTCCTCCCACAGGGAAAGTTGACAAGGGTGGGTTAAGCACACTTTGTATACTATATCTAGGTAAATTTATGTCGTGCACTTTAACCATGAGCCTCTGGCTCGGATGATTGGGCAACCACATCCCGTGCTAACGACTTTAAATAAAAAAAAAAAATAAATCATTACATTACATTACATCACATTACAGGTTTAGATGAGGTTTGTGGGGAAGGTTCAAATTTGAACACTCTTATTGATCACATGCATGTACCAAAAAAACAAATACGGCATAACCGGCAAGAAATAAAATGTTAAATGTCATATTTCATATGACAAAATGTCAAATGTCATAACCGTCTAGCTTGCCAGACGATCTCAGGATAATTTGCAAATTTAAAGTTATAATTGCAGATGAATTTCTTGGGTTAATTTTGGCTAGTTATTCCGCTAGGGCTTTATTGTCCGCGCCATTTGTCGGTGTTCACGAGGTAAAATTTGAGGCTTCGTAAATAATCATTGTGATATGCGCATCTGTGAGATTCTTCGGTAGTTTATTGTATTCGATTCCCGTCAATGGATATTTTTCTATTTGGATAGCTTTTGAGTTGTGTAGGCGCTGGTACAGATGGTATATTGTTCGGGATTATAACAAAAGGAACTACTAGTAAAAATCGCCCGAAGGAATTTTTATATCTCGATGGTCACTACTGTCTTGGTATAACATGTGGACCCATAATAGGTGGCGTTCTAACCCTCGACATGAACATATTTGGTTTAAAATTAACGCAGGTGGGGAAAAGCGGGACTCGCCGCAAATCTTTTCTTCCTGTTTCTAATGCGATGCGCTAGGCTCTGGCAAGTGTTTTTGCACTTTTCAATAATGAAGGAAAATTCTATTTTTTAGCTGCCCATCCAACATTGCTTCTTTTAGATTAAAAATGACTGCGATAATACGAATTAAAAGGGGGATAACGAAAAATACCACTACGAAGAATGCGATTTTCACACGAAGCTTCTATAGAACTGCCAAGTAAAAATTCAAATTGGACTTATATTTATGTAAATAGTATTGTTAAAAGTGACATTTATTTATTTTAAATCTTTTCAACGCAAGATCAAGATTCGAACAAAAAACATGTATCACTATAGTGTTTGCTAGTTTTGTGGCAAAAATGAAAATAAAGAAATGTTTTCGTGAATTTTTGAATTATATAAATAACACATCAATCATGCTTGTTCTTTAATCAGATCAAATGTTTTCTTGATGGTTCAACTTACATATAATTAGATGGAAAAATAACTGCCTAGTTTAATCGGCGATCATTCAGCGTGATTTAACGTTTATTTTTAAAATTTAAGCGCAAAAATGGAGATCGATTGAGCCAACTTTGAAATATTAACATTTTTCGTCTGCCAAACACCGTTTCCCCCTCCGTTTCCGCCGCAAATTCCATAACTGTATATCCTAAAACTTATCCTTATCCTTAAATTCTTGAGGACAAGCTACTCTGCGAAACTCCTGATGCACAAGCTTTCTACTCCAGAGGCAGAAGTTCGTGTATAAAAGTTTTACTATAGTGCTCAAGCATTTTCAACAATAGAATAATTCTCCAAAAGTAAGAGTTGGTCATTGCGATTGAGTGAAAAAGAGCGTTGGACTTATGACCTTTACCAATATGAGGCTTGTAGTCAATGATGATACAACACATCTCCCTAAAAGCAGAAGCAGCTCTGCTCTATATATTCTCAATTGTAAAAGTGTGATATCTTTTTTATTTCATGCTATAGGTAACACGCCCAGTTTCATTCTGATGCATGTTTACTAGGTTTATCTTACTGATTTTTACACTCTTTTTACCATCCGATCCATCGGAGAAATCAGCTAATGCGAGGACTGACAGAGACCCTCGTGTATCTAAAGCAACCACAAAGCAAAAGAACAAAGGTACTTCGTTATATATGATTCGCAGAAAAGAAAAAGAGAGACTGGAAAGAGTTTCGATCGATGGCGACAGCGGCGATGGTTTTACCATTGCAAAAGCATTTGCTACAGACAACTGCCCTCCATCGTCTCAGGTTTTTTGCTTGTATTATCAAATATTTTTGTTGTCATTTGTCTACATGGTCATTTCATTTTATGTCCCATTGCTGGTAAAGTATACCATATTGGGACTTATCCACGTGAAGTTAATTCACCTCAACAGTGCTTTGATGGCTTCCTTGTTGTTCTTTTCCACCCCTCACATTCTGAGAAATATCTCCAAATCTACTTTCCTCTTTCCCAGTATATTTTCCACAAATTACATTAGTTTCAGCGATATTTTTTCTCGCTTTTTCTTGGAATAGTACATCGGTCTACGCAAAAAGCACTCTCGTTTTTTGTATAATGCTCATTGTGAGCACACAGTTGTTGAATACTCCTGTAGCATCTTGCTTACTGTCGAAGTTAATTTAACACCTGTGAATTGGGCTTCATTTCATCAAAGTCTTGTTTATACCGCATGCAGTACGACTCGGGGTTATACTCAGTCGTTTTGCAGCGGGGTCAACATTTGGCAAAACACTTGCATATAGTTCTCGCTTTTTGTTGGTTATTCGAATGATATGGTTTGGTTACGAATGTCTTAAATTTCATCGTGCCGCTAAACGATGACTGAAGTTGTAGTAAGTAGTACTAGCCAATTACAATTCAGGATATATACAATTTGTTTGTTTTGGAGAAATCATGATTATTTATATACCGCACTACTACTAATGAAATAACTGTACTCCTCTCGACCAATCAGCAGTGGCGTAGCCAGCCTGACGATTTTGTCCCGCTATGTAAATTTCGAGTTACTATAATTATTCATGTCTTTAGAAATCTATTGTGTTCACAGTCAGTGAACACTAAAATATTAGCATAGTGGGACAAATCGTCAGGCTGGCTACGCTACTGCCAATCAGCATTCAATAGCTTTAGTATACGCTAATAATAACAGAAGGAATAGAATTAATAAGTAATCAACATCACACTCATAGTTAGCAAATCAACCTCCGGCTCCGCGGTCAGTTGCTTTTATTTTTTAGAACCACTCACTGTATGATTTTAGCATTAATTTCATTCCTATTCCTTTAGTACCATTATTACCTGCACTCCCATTACCATTATTAATTACTACGGAATTTCAGATATGGCGCGAATAACGTCTCGTTTAAACGTCGCATTTCGGTCGCGTCAAATGCGTCTAAGAGGGGAGATAACGAGAAGATAATAAAGGTGAACGAGGCTATCATCTCATTATCTATTGTTTTAATTGCATCTGACGCGACTGCATGAAGTAAGACGTTCAACACAAGTTTGACTGTCGTATTACTCTACACATTGCATGCAATAGTCCATAATGGACCACTTGCATAATAGACCAACTTTTGATTCAGGTGACAAAAAGGGAATTTCCTAAAAGAGCATACAAAACTTAGTAAAATTGCCAAGTTTTGCTGTGAAATATTGTAAAGTGCCGCAGATATAGCCATGCGAAGTTGGCGAATTTTGTATACTTTTGTATTACGGCCGGACGCGTGTAACTAAATTAGTTACACGCTTCCAGCCGTAGTAAAAAAGTATACAAAATTGGCAACTTCGCATAGCTATATCTTCCGTACTACTTTACATTTTGCAACCAAACTTGGCAATTTTACTAATTTTGGTATGTTCTTTTTAGCTGTTTTAATACTGTATAAACTTATCTACAAAACGCTTTCTGTAACAATACATGAACATGTGTTTGCCGCCATCTTATTTTCCCCTGTCTCTCTCTCGATCCCTCGTTACCCTTAAATATCCATACCTATCTGTGACGTCCTTATTAACGCTGAACACTACATCTCTCCCCAAGTTTAGACATAAAACAAATAAATCATCCCAGTTCAATAAGATAAAATAAAAGTGCCACACAGCACAACACAACACAACTTAAACAATAGATGTCACTGTTCCGTTATTTATATAATAGTATATATATATATACAACTTATCTTTATTCGTCTTCATCAGTTCCCATGTCATAGTCCGCATGCCATTGCGGGGGATTTCGATGTCTTCCCCTCTGCTCCCGCCTTTGATCCTGCACTTCGTTCTCATTCTGCCGTTCCTCCGCCATTTCCAATGGCACTTCTTCCTCTTGTTGTATCAAGACACCTCCCTCTTGATCACCGACTTGATCCTCGCCATCCCCATCTGGTAACATGTCATCAATACCGATCTGTTCCTCTCCAACTGTTTCTCCATCGCTTTCCGGATCCGAAAAGTCATCGGGCGTAACTTTGTCCTTACCTCGTCCTACCTTTAGCTTTTTAAACCAAGACGTATCTCGTGTAACCACTTTGTGCGTTGGGTCTTCTCGTCCAACTACCAACGTACTGCCTTTCTTACTTAAGACAGTGTATGGTTGTGGATCATAACATGGGACTAGTTTTCCTTCTCTTTCATTTTTCAGCAGCACTTTATCACCAGGTGCAATTGGACTGACTTTAACGTACTGCTTTTGGTCAGCGTATTTCTTTGCGGTTGCTTTTTTATTTGCATCACGATCCCTAACCGGCTTGTCATCGACTGCTGGTGGTGGAAGCTCAGGCAGGCGCACTCTGTACTGTCGTTGCTGAAACAGAAGATTAGCTGGACTTTCGCCCGTTGTGGAATGTGGAGTCGCTCGATAACTCCTTAGAAATGTGTATAGTTCCTGTTTCCACGACTTACGTTCGATGACTGCCGTACGTGTAACTTTTTTGACCATACGATTAAAATTTTCCACTAACCCATTGGCCCGTGGATGTCTGGGAGTAATGGACTGGTGCTTAATTCCCATAAGACGACAATAGTCGTTAAACGCCTTAGACGTGAAAGGCGGCCCGTTATCTGTTTTAATACTGATGGGAATTCCAAATGAGGATAAGATTCGATCGAGCTTCGGCAACGTGGCTTTGGCAGAGGTGGACGTAGTAATATCGATTTCAGGAAAACGAGAATACTCATCAATAACCACTAACACGTATTCTCCCGACGGCATCGGGCCATAGAAATCCATAGACAAACACTCCCATGGACCGTTTGGTAGTGTTGTGGATTTAACCGGTTCTTGCGATGCCGTATGTACGGTTGCTTGACACGGAATACAAGTATTTATGCAGGATTCCACCTTCTTTTCCAACCCTGGAAACCACACTCGGGATCGTAAGAGCTGTTTGGTCTTAATTAGACCTTGGTGTCCTTCATGTGCGGTATTAATTACTTTCTTGTGCAACGACGTGGGCAGGACTATTCTCCGGCCTCGAATAATAACCCCATGCGCGATAGATAGCTCGCCAGCTACGCTCTGATAAGGTTGTAGATCTTTATCTTCTTTTCTAAAAACAGTTCCCTGTTGTAAATGTTCATAGACTTTGCTTAGGGCACGATCTTTCATCGTCTCTCTCTGTATATCGTTAAGGCTTAAAGGCAATGGCACATCTCCTTCAACCACCCAGTGTACGTGAGATTCCAACTCTTTTGACGCAGCCAGATCTGCCTTGGTGGAATGTACCATAGACAGAGGCTGTCGCGAAGTATAATCAGATGGATTAAACTTGCCCGGGCGATATACAACTTTGAAGCTAAAACCTTGCAGCTTTAACCTCATTCTCTCCACACGGAATGGTCCTGGACGTCGGGGATTATTATACAGACAGACCAATGGCTGGTGGTCTGTTACGACCGTAAACTCGTGACCCAACAAGTACAGCTGGTTTTTTAGACACCCAAACTGAATTGATAGAGATTCTCTCTCTATCTGGCCATACCTTCTTTCCACGGGCGTAAGCGTTCTACTGTTATATGCAATTACCCTCGGCACTGTCTCCCCCGACTTATATTGAGCTAATATAGCACTCACGCCAACTGGAGATGCGTCACAC